GCATACGGGGTTTTCGTTGGTAGCTGGATTTATTGGACACTTAGAGATCGTAACTACAAGAGACTATAGCGCTAACGCCAATTCACATATTCAGCAGTTCACTACAGCACGTACTAAGTCTTCTCAGTCTCCTATGTCTTCAGCAGCCGTTGTCTGGTAACGGCTTTCAACGCCGAAGATCCCTGAACTTCCGTGTTCATGTTCTTACAGCCTGGCGACTGTCGCGCATTTAACTAAACTGTAGACTTGTTATGCTTATATAACATGTCACGGACCGCACAGAAAACACCTCTCCCAGCAGCTCTTCTGTTGTTGCGTCCCGTAGCTGTCGCACAAACCGCGCAGAGAATACCCCTTCCTTGTTAGCCTATTGGTGCGTGTTAGGAATCTGTTGCGGCCATTATCCCACAACATCCGTTGTTTACAGAGTCGTTACTTAGCAACGGGTCTCATGCTACAATAAATACTTTGATATAGCTGAGCTATTTTGTTCGTAGCCTCCAACTCTGAAACGGATGCAACATCAGTCCATATGCATGTGCTCTGTTTTCAGACTAATTACTTCATAAAACATGGTCATATTTATTATAATGAGGTTCTCTAAAGCATGCATCACCGCTGATACCCTGAAGCAAATGAATATTTTAGAACTATTATATAGGAAAATAGGTCCGTAATTCTTTTTATAACTGACATAATAATGCAAGAATGTATCAAGTTCTGGACTGCTTTAGTAAGAATTTCATGGGATATATTTCTCTTTTATAACTTTATGAGATGACTTTGGCACAAGACGACGTTTTCAAGCCTAAATCAGAATAAAAACTCTGAATCAAGGGGACAGATGTCACGGATTTTAAGGAAAATTGGTGGAATGACTGTAATAATATGAGTAGGCTTTATATTGTCACGATATTTTGGGTTTCTGGATTGGTTGATTGGATTTATTAACACGTCACTTAAATCATTTTTAATTACAACCAGCTATAACAGCTCACAATCAGTGGCTGCCTAAGACTCGCTCCAGTCCTTACTGGACTCTTCCACTGCGACTGACTTGGTTTTGATTTACGAGTCGGTCACTTCTTCAGCTTCCGGTGTCCGCCGGTTAACACTCCACAGCAGAAAACTCTTATGGCTGAACTAAGGACGAATGGCGAACGAAGAGTGAATGAATCAGAGTCAAAGTCACATTGCGACTGACGGTCAGTCAGTCAGTAAGTGTTGGTGTCGGGCCCCAGATTTATTACTGGTTGACAGTTACGGCTTTGTTTTTGTAGAGCGCCCTCTCTGACGAGAGGACGGGTCTGTCTTTCGTGTATTCTGCTGGCCCTTTGCCAACGCACTCTTTCTCGGGTCCGAGTCCCTTGGGACAAGCGACCAAATTTAACTGTCTCAGTTTTGAGACTTCACTTTTCGTCGCCTCTACCGACTCGCAGCGTTACGGTGGAGGCATTCGACCCCCCCCCCCTCCACACGGTGGTTTCCCCTCAGTACGCACAAATCCCACGCCTTTTACTCAAGTCAAGTCCCATTCCCGTATTCTCTTGTACCCTCTCGGCACGGAACCCACAGAAAACACGAGTCACATGTCAGACTGCGAGTTCATTGGTCCGTTACCAGCACTGGGCCTGGCGCGGACGACGCAGAAAACACAGTCTCCTCTATTATTGCACGGAAGTGAATTTTGTACTAAGTCGGTCTGTAGGAAATCGCATCTCCGTAAGAACGTGTGTTAATTTCGTAGCAACTGTTTGGTCTTCCCACAAACGTATCCGTTGCCGCGGGTACGTGCCTAGCGAGCCGCTGTCTACCAATGAACTATTCCGGCTTTCAGGCGTCATGTCACAATGTTTTAGGTACCAACATATTGAAGTTTGTGAAACTGGGTATGAAGGACATGCCATCTCCATCAAAACAAATACAGCGACTGTGCGAACTTAATAGGTGGGAACGACTCTGGCACCGTACAGCGTAATAATCAGTTACGGAGGGATTTTCACAATTGTGTATGGCGCTCTGAATTGGGCTGTGTCCGTTGTCCGGTTTGAAAGTTACACTGGTCTTTGAAACGTGCGTATCAAAATAACAGATGCATATGTTTCGAGGTTCAGACGGCGGTGTTTAGTCTGATTATGAGCTTTGTCGGTTGCGGTAAAACGTAGGCAGACACCGATGTTTCGTTGGGACACGTTGCTTCCATCTTCATGGACACTTCAGACATGAAGATAAGATGAGCGAGTTCTTACGAAATGTCGATATCCATGTACAGGACTACACGATTCTGGAGTCCAGAAGGCCAGAGTTTGAATAACAAAGTAAATTCCAAAGAAATTCGCGTTGACTGTCTTGGAAAATTAAGGCTGAAATTTCCTGTGTACTCTTTCGGATTGTAGGACATTTTCTTTGTACGCCCTATAGCGCCTTCCGAACGAGACATTTACATTTTCTCTGTGATTCGTCGGCAAACAAGTAGGATGGCCATAAAGGGAGAACGTTATTATTATCAAGTTCCGTGGAATGGAGGTGTCACATTCTGGACACGTAGCCGACGGATTTGTGTCAGGTATCTGTGCCGCTTGATGTTGACCAATAAGGGCTGGGTCAGAAATATTTTCGCTATGTGGAAAGTATCTGTAGATGCCTTAGCGTTCGTAACCGATTGCCGCACGCTAGGAATTCCAAGCGCCTTGTAAGTAGGCCCTACGGCGTACACTTCTAGTTGCTGAATGCCTCTCTGTGAAGACNGGGGGGGTTGTTAAGTAACTAACTCCATGGAGCTCCCTCCTTCTATAGAATCCAGCAGTTGCCCAGCCACTCAACAAATTCCCAACATTTTACGGAATCCGAAGGTCACTTGCCGTATTCACAAGAATCCGTCACTGGTCCCCGTCCCAAGCTAGATGAATCCAATCCATAACCCCCTATCCTATTTCCGTAAGGTCCTCCTATCTACATCTAGGTCTTCTTAGTGGTTTCTTTCCTCCATGTTTTCTATCAATACTCTGTAGCACGCATTTCTCTCATGCATGCTACATTCCCTGCCCAGCCCATACATACTGCACAGTGAAGTTCTCATGTCCATGTCACAGAGGGCTACCTGTATTTACGGCAGGTTTTTGCAGTACACGTTTCTGACAGTTGTGTGATCAACGAGAAGTTAAGATTAGGTAACAAAACTGCACCAAACACACTCAGTTCACGCAGCGCTTTCCGTAATAGCGGCCTCTGATTTCTTTCCTCTTGTGAGAAGCTGCCTGAACTGCGTCACGCGTACCGCTGAGTGGCGTTGTGGCAAGCCGTGTCGCTCTGAGCAACATCTGACTGCGTTTGTTTCCGTATTGACACCAGCAACATGACGTGCAAGGAATTTCTCCTTAAATTATAACTAACTTGGACACATAATAACAGACTGGATACGCAGAGAGGTTATATGGGCGGCAGCCGGTTCCCACAAAACGTACCTCCACATGTTTATTCGCTTGATTTGTATTTCCCGACGGGTTAATTCAATGCAGATTTTAGGTCGCGGTATGCTGTTACCGGTAGATGTCGTGCCCACTGCACGGGACCAGGTCCTTTTTTATAGGCTGATAGTTGCTCGCCTCCTCAATAAATTCCCAGCATTTTATGGAACCCGAAGGTTTATTATCATGTGCAGAGAAACAATCATCGCCCCTATTCTGATAATGTAAGTTCAGTCTGCTGTCTCCATATACACGCTTTCCTTCAGGCTCATTTAATATTATTGCCACGTGCATGAATGAGCGTGGACGGGGTTTAGATTGGTAAATGGATTTATTGACCACTTTCAGATCGTAACTACAAGTAACTGGAGCACTATCGCTAATTCACGCACTCTGCAGTTCACTGCAGCATATACTAAGTCTTCTCAGTTTGTTTTCGCTAGGCGTTTACTGGTGACGGATCCTATCAATGTCCTCTGCTTAAGCCCTTACTGGCTGGCGAATGGCTCACAACTAACTAAACTCTAAAGTTGTCCCTTTTATAACTCTTCGGCAATTACCGCGTAGAAAACACTGCTCCTTATTGTTGTAGTTCAGTCGTTGCCGTGGGAACATGTTTGTTTGAGAAGCCGTTACTCAGAAACGACTGCCGTATATTTGCTTATTCTGCTGTCGTTGCCTAGCAGCGGGCGCTGTTTAGAATCATAACTTAGCAATGCATCTACATGCCACAATGTATTTCCATCTAAGCGACTTTCCTACTAAGACTTTATATGCACTTTTCTTCTGTCTCTGCTCTCCCCTCCCATGCGCTCTACATGCCCAGTCCATCCCATCCTCTTGATTTTACAATTTTAGTAATGTTTGTTGGCGAGTACGAACTATGGAACTCTTCATTATGTAGTAAACACTGTTCTCAACTCCCTGTTTGGAAACATCCACAAGTCCTAGCTTTTTCTGAAGGTGAGAAACCAGATTTGTTACCCATACAAAACTGCGGACAAATTTACACTTTTGTATGCTTCAGTCTTTACGTTTTAATACAGCAGATATGAAGGCACAAGATTCTGAACTGAATATCAAGCAGTGCCCAAATGTAATCTGTTCTTGTTTCTTTTAGAACACAATATCGATTTGTTAGTGTTGTTCCCAAATACAAACCATTTTCAGTGCTTCAGCAGCAACATTACCACATACAGCACAGTGCTGTGTGTTTATGTGTGGACTTAGAGGCGTATCAGCTGTGCCTGGCATGAACCAAGTAATTGATTACTTTTGTCTCCCTCATTGAACCCCGAAGTCTTTCTTCACTTCTTCTTACTGCCATTGAGTCTGATCCTGAACGTGCTCTCGTCTCAAGGCGCTCATCTATGCTCTCACCTCTGTGTCAGACTCAAGTTGCCCCTTTTCACCGAAATGTTACATCTGTTCATCATTTTTGCCATTCAGACTGAAGGTCGATACCATCAGACATTCTTCTGTTTTATGTCTGTAACATGTAGTGGGATTTACATAGGAGTACACTATTTACAGAGAAAACATCTGCCGAACTCCAGAAAAAAGGAAATGCGATACGCTTGGACTAGCAGAACTAGGCAAAATGTGCGACAGTAACTCAAGTTGTGCCATAGTTCAAGACAACGGCCTCAGTGCAGCCTTCACAATTGCTCACGAACTGGGACATGTGTAAGTATTCCTCTGAATCTTCATTGAACTTTCTGTAAGAATAACTGATTTATTTTGAAGTTGTAATCATAGGGATCTCATTAGTAGGTTTCATGTGCTGTGTAGGATATACGTAGAATGTTTCTGTGTGCACACACATGCACACAAGGTTAGTGTTTCACAGTGCTTGTGATATCCAAAGAAAAGTCACCACTATCTTGAAAAATACTTCCTACATTTGTGTGTGTGTGTATGTTTGTATATCTTCATTCCTGTTGCTCTCACTTGGAATATAAGGCAACCATGAAATGCTTCATTTCGCTTCAGTTTCTTAATCTTAGGTAGGACTCCTTGAATGAAGTATCAGCCCACTGCAAGGTTGCTACCCACACAGGACAACACAAACACAGAATAAATGCAGACAAACATCCATGCTTTGAGTGGGATTCGAACCCATGATCCAACCTCTCAGGTGTAAAACAGGAATGCTACCCACTCAGCTGCAATGTTTGATATATTTAATAAATAAATTACATTCTACATATAGTTTATTGAAAGTTGTAGTGGTTAATCACTGTTGTTCTTTTTAGCTGTCAATCAATGTACTCATATACACATGACCAGGGACTTCCCCTTGTCTAGTTATTTGAATAGGCTGCCCTTCCTTAAGACTTCCAAGTCCCCTGCAGCTTTTGTGATGTACTGTATTGTTTCACTTTAATAACAGGTTGATTATTTTATTTAATTGTTAAGTTAGTATGTAGATTATAATATCCTAACAGCTGTTTCAGCAGTCAGTGCACCAAAACAATAGAGCATTTCCCCTCCCAAGAACATCTGTGACAATATGGTTTACTGAAAATTTATGCTCTGCAAGCCACGTACGGTTTGATTTGTGGAAGTGAATCATGCAAATGATGTGTTACAAACGTCTACTATATGCAACACCATTGTTTTCTTGTGGTGAATTTCTTCCATTAGGGAATGTAAAGCAAAGCAGATGTCGCCATTAATCAGAACCTAAACCAGGATAACAGACTCTGTGTTTTAGAGATCAGTTCATAAGTGAATTTACTGGATTGAGCTTGTTTAGGACCAGAATCAGTAATATGTGTTAACACTACTGAATTTCAGTATCGAGTTTAGTCGTGCAGTAAGATGAGGAATAAAGAGAAACAAATTGTAACTTGATACTTGTGTCACTATATGATTTATAGGAGGATGAAATGTTGTATCACAGAACAAAGCATTATGTTTATAAATGGTATTTTAATTGGGCACAAGTCTCATCAGGAATTTCTGTTTATTGTCATAGACTCAACATGCCACATGATGATGACCCCAAGTGCCTTCGTTACCGTGACAGTTCCAGGGTGCACAATGTAATGTCCAGGATGCTGGATCATAAGGCATATCCTTGGGCTTGGTCAAACTGTAGCAGACATGTACTTACAGAGTTTTTAGAGTAAGTCTTTATATCTCCTAAGATTTTAAAGATGAAATTGCTGAACTGTGACGTGAACATAGAGGATACTCACAACAGTAGAGGAGCAATTATCTGAACACAATTAATATATATCACAAAGACATGTGTAAAACAACAAATTTATGCATTTTTAAGGGAAAAATTCTCTCTTATGTGCAGTCACAGGCAAGCTGTTTTAAGTTTTGTATGGTCAACACTTAAGTTAATTTATTACTTTACATCATTATGTGTGATTATCCAGACAGATCAGTGACCAGAACTAAAACCATTGATAAATACTTGAATTGACAATCGGTTGTACTGTGACAGAGTAATGAAGGCTTGGGGCTTTGTTACATGCACTGCCTGAAGTTGACATTTTTACACGATTTAAAGCAATCTGTTTTGGTGCAGAAAGGACTTATGTTGTAAATAAGAAGATAAACAGTCTTTTATCGGTTTTACAAGCATCAACAATCAAACACTGACAAGAGGAAAGGCATCCTATTTGTGATAAGCATAATTGATTTCTTTATTGATGAATGAAGAGGAAAATGAATTAAATGACTTACATTTTCATGGCTTACCATTACTCATATCAGAACCACATGAGACTTGATTGTTTGTGGGAGGCAGAAACGGATAGTAATGTGGTGGCAAGAGACATGTTACATCTGTAAATATTGCACTCTGTTGTGCTGCATCCCCATGACAAGTCTGTTGCCTGAAAACTAAATCTTATTCTTTTTTATCCAATGAAAGGATGACTATGGGACACCCGGCAAGCTGACTCAAGGAGTAACGTTTTTGACTTGCTTGTATTTAGGAGGTGCCTGGTTTGAATCTCAGCCAGGTCATAAACTTCTGTGACCGAGGTTTTTCAACGTTTTCCCCAGTTCCTCTAAGCATACTCTGGAATAGCCCCTCAAATTAGACCACACTCACTTCTTTCAACCCCTCCCTTCCAATTCACTCGCTGTTATTCAGGCATTTGATGCTATAGAGTTTGAGTTGCTGAAAACACCAATAAATGAACTCTTGCTACTTGTGCTACTCCTATTATGACTTGTGATCATGTACAGCATTTTATTCATGATTCAGAATTATATTTCAACATTTTAGTATTCAAGAAATGGAGAAATGTGACACTTTTATGAGTTAGCCATTTTCCCCTTTAAGGATCCATGAAAACTTACAATTTGAGTAACTGCTGTCCCTAATTGAGCACTGCACACGGTGTTGAGATTAAAAGTATCCAAAATAAAAAATTGATATCTCAGAAACTAATTGTCATACACATATCCCGTTTATACCATTGGGAAGGAAAATCCTGAAAGATTTTAACATGCCTGGCTTACATGCATGCACCAGCTTTTGACCTTCAGCGAGATCAGTAACACTGTCAACACCATAGGAACGTGTTCAATGCATGTTGTGGCTAGTAGAGTTGCAATCTCTTACGGCTGTCCAGCATCGTTTTAGAATGCAATATGGCGTCAACTCATACATGAAAAGCATTCGGTTCTGGGACAACAAACAGGATTGCAGGTAATTTGTTGCATGTAAAATCTCCTGGAAAGACATGGACCTCTGAAGAAAATGTCAATTGCATTAGAGAGGTGTTCCAGTGAGGTCCATGCAAATCAGTTCATGCTACTTGCTTGTAGTTAACATGCAAATTTCACGTTCAACAGTGCAGGATGTGCTACACAAAAGGCTCTGCCTAAGAGCATACAAGTTTCAAATGATTCATGCACCAAAATCGAGTGACTAAGTAGCACGCACAAACTTCGCTGTGGACATGATAGAAAGAATTGACACATCACCTGATTTTCTCTGCCAAGTTTGCTTTTCAGATGAAGTGACGTTCCATGTCAGTGGAGTTGCAAACAGGTACAACTGCAGGATTTGGGGGCAGTCAGTATCCATATGTCACATGTGAGTTGGAGAGAGGCAGCCCCAAAGTGAAGGTGTGGGCTGGCTTAATGCATGACAAGTTGGTTGGACCATTTTTCTTTTTGGAAAAGACCGTGACCAAACGTTCATACTTGGACATGCTGGAGCTGTATGTGCTGCCCCAGTTACCACCTCAAACTCTCCTCCAACAAGATGGGGTGCTGCCACATTTCTGTCACCATATTATGAATCACCTTGACAGAGAGATGGCTGGGAGATGGATCGGCAGATGTGAACCAATCGCTTGGCCTCCTAGGTTGCCATATTTAACCCCAATAGATCTTTTCTTGTGGGGTTATGTGAAGGACATTGTCTACCAGGTTAGGATCAACAACCTTCAACACCTGAAAGCCTGCATAATGGACGCTGTATCTGTGGTAACACCAAACATGCTTTAAGCAACGTGAAATGAGGTCTAATATTGTCTGGATATTTGTCGTGCCACCTAAGGAGCCCATCCCATTATGCTCTGTGGAAAGGTTATTTGAACTATTGCTCTAATTCCTTCTGCTTAACCTGAAATAATTGTGTCATTTACCATTTGGGCACTAAATTAATTCTCTTAGTCCTAGGATGACAATTCTGTCATTCTGTGTAAGTAGTAACATGTTGGAATATTTCTAGGTCTAATCAACTTAGCTAATATGTTATTAACTGACAGGTATTTCATTCATGTTGGTTAAAGGGGGAATAAACAATAATAATAAAAAGGTCAGATCCTTCTTTCACAATATAACATGTCACTAAGCCAGATTTATTTCCTCATAATAATTACTTTTGCATTTGATAGGTCTGTAGTACTATAGAAGGACATGTTTAGGTTATTGAGAAGGATCATGACAAAACTACTTTTTCTTCTCTGTTGCAACTGTGTAACTGGTTTTGTGCTGTCATGCTAAATTAATGTCATTGCTCAGCTGTGCCAGAAGCACCCATACCATGGTTATACCTATGGTTCCTTATTATGATAATGGAGCATAATCCTTTCTGGCATCTTGTTCAAATGTCATTGGTATTTCATATATTTCTGGCATTTGTCATCCATAAAGCATGTAGCTTAGACATTGCCTTGTTGTGAAATAACAAGTGAAATTGAGTGCACTAAAAGACGGACACTGCATACATATCATGGACGAAAATCAGTGCAACAGGACGCTAAAATACAACATTGCCTTTATGTTTCTATTCTCGTAAAAATTTCCCTGTGACAGGCTTGATGGTCTATTTTGTAAAGTCAAGAAGAGAATTTAGATAAAAAGTAAATATTTTTCATTACTAATATATTTCAATAATATATTGTTTTCCCAAACCTTGGCCTCTACGTTATATGTCCCCTATTGCTGATTCTGCCCTACTTTTTGGGTAACACTACAGGTACAGTGATTAATTCACAGTTTTGATAGAAAAAACAAAAACAAACTCCGTAGTTTTAGTCCACAAGCGAACTATACTGACCGAGTGACCACTGCTTGTTGGCGAATTTGGATGAAAAGGAAGTAGAAACTGGGGGATTTGTTATCAAGAGAATAACACATGGAGTCTAGGAAGATGATAATCAGCATTAATTTAGTGGTTAATTTTGTGGTTATGGATAAATTGATCACTGTCTTTTGAGGATGTGTCACTGTGTAATGTATTAAAAGTTTACCGAAGCTTTGAGGAATGTACTGCCTTCATATTAAGAATTGCGGAGTGATCCCATCAGACAAGCAGCAAGAATCAAGTAGCAAACTTCTTCTGAAGTATCAATAATCTACCAGACTATGCGGGATCATATCCCAAAAGATATGAATCTAAATAGACATTGCTGTGAGAACTGCAGACCCATATTAGCTTATAGGTGTTTTCTAAATCCAGAAGTTTGAAGTGATAGATGTGGACAGTCCTCACTTCAGTCTGCAGCTCACAGTACAGGCACAAACATACTTCTCACATTTTGGGGTGGACAACATTAAATGGAGCTTCTAATTCGTGGCTGCCTCCTTGCATCCACAGTATGTTTGTGGAAGATCAGAAAACCAGGTTTCAATAAAATAGAATATTAGGAGTTGGCCCCAAGTAGCGCAGTTTATATTTCGCAAGTTAAACCCTGTCAAACCTCATTCCAGTTCTCTCATTCCCAGTCTGCTCAAGCTCAGAGATGGATGAATGCTATTAAAATAATTTATGTGACCATTATTATGCTAGTCAGGAGCTGCCATGCCGCAGAACTTGGATGTGACAAAACAAGACAAGTTTCAGTTTTCTAAATAAATTGTCGAACTCTACAGAGTGACTGTTTTGTATTACTTTTTATGAAGTACAAGTAAAAGAATTCAGAGTTGGGTAGGCAGATAAGTGACACAAGTCCACAGATTCCAATTTATCTTATCTTAATGCTGATTTGCTGTGGTTTAAAAAATTTGGAATTGAGAATTTGTGTAAACAGCAGGCAACTGACTGAAAAATTAAATTGCTATTTAATTTTATTAGTTATGAACGTATGTCCTTTAATGCCATGCATCTTCAATGAATTGCATAACAATTAATACTAATATGCAACAGCCTTTATTACACAACCATAAATATTATATGTTATTGCCAAACCCATTTTGGTCCTAACAAACCAGCTTCAGTCTCTTATTAGCCAACTTTCAGTTGTAGTATTGTCATATGTTGGATTGGTAGTGAATCATTTATAGAAACACAGTAAAACTGGCACACTGTGTGATATGTATACACAGAATCTGTAAACTTAAAATTAAGTCTTAACTATTAAACTAGGTGTGTGTGTGTGTGTGTAAACACATAAATGTGTATGTGCATATATATATATATATTGTCGTGTGGGTCTAGCAACAGACGTCTCTGCTGTGCTTTTCTGACTGCACATTTCAGGCGTCATGCACAATACTTATATTTTGGAGGAATCTTGGGCTACACGTAGTTTTCCTCAGTCACTCCTACTATATACCATCCCTCCTGTTGCACTTATAATAGAAATCGTCAGGTACAGTAAAGTCCCAGTCATTCCATATTGAAGAATCTGGAATTCTAATGTAATCAAGAGATCAACAGATCTTTATAAACCTGCTTCGAAAACAAAGCTACGGAGTGTACATGTTCCGCCATGTCCCGGTCTCTACTGATAGCGCTGCCTGTCACCCTCCCTTAAACAGGTGCCATTACAGTTGTACTGATGGTGATTGCTGTAAAGGCTAGATGAATTTGTGCTCCTGTTGCAGTATATCCGGAATCTATTGCCCACATAAGAAGAGCCCCACCCAAAACCTAAATTGACAACGCATTTTTCTGACGTTGAAATAGAAAATGTATGTAAAAAAGGAGAATGGGTAAAAATTGCGTTTCTGTAAGTTCCTTCTCTTGCAACTAGCAGATTCATGTAATTGGGCATCCCAGGATAATGGGGAAATAACCGTACTAATGAAGCCTCCTGCTTGTAGTGAAACTTTATGTATATTATCACGTGTTACTGACTAGGCACGGAGTTTGGATTGGTAATTGGAACATCCATAAATCGTAACTGTAAGTAATTATATTTCTTTCAATAATTTATACACTCTACTTTTCACTACAGCACTTTCCACTTAGCAATGGCTGTCTGTTTAATGATGTCACGTGTTTACTGTGCCGAAACCTAGCAATGGTTGCCTTTTTCAGTTATTGTGTCACAGTGTATTGAAGCTCCAGAGAAAATTCGTGTCAATATTATATCCCATTTTTAAATAGGTTTAAATAAAGAGTGCTCGAGATTTTACAAAAACAAAAAACAAGGTCGCTGTTTTGTTGAGCACTATTAAAATTTCTGTATTTGTACTCATAGAGATTTGCATGCAGTGCTACATGCTGAGTTTAGTTTTAAGTCCATTGGAAGACTTTGAAATGCCCTTTCTCAGTATAACTGCTGGCAAATTACCTTTGCTCACTGTAATTTCTAGTGGATCTTGGTCATTTGCTACAGTATCTTAATCCAATCAATTGGAAATAGTTCTGTTAGAGAATATAGTGTAGAGGTTTTGGGTTGACAGTAACTCAGATAAGCTGAATATGAGTATGTCACGTGAGGAAATGGCAGTGCTTCTAATCTACTGTTGTGACTCTAATGATGGAAGTGCTGGAAGTGGCCAATGTCTCCTTGACGCCCCACCCCAGGACTTGATCACAAAGGAGCAAGAGCGCAGTCAGAGCCAGCCAGGAGAGAGCTTCACAGAAGACCGACAGTGCCAGCTTGTGTTCGGCGAAACTTCCAAAATATGCTCATACATGGTGAGTTTCATTATGATATGGTGCTTTTCTTTATATGAGGGAGAGTCAGTAAATAGGACAAAAGGAAGTAAAACAGCTGTAATGGTGGTGATAGGGTTTCTATGTACATCACTAGTTAGCAGCACAGTCCAGCTTCATGACAGTCCAGGTAACAGACGTGCATGTGCATGTTCAGATGCTGGCTTCAGCACTCAAAATGGTGACGGTGATTGAAGAATAAACTACTGAAAGACAGCTTTCTGTAGTGCTTTTTATGGGCATAAGGACTCAATGTAAAGGATATTCATGAAGAAATGTTTCCTGTTTACAGTGGGAAGTGTTTGCCATGTAAAGCGGTTCACAATTGGGTCGAGAAACATGGAAACATTTTGCTCATGAAGAAGTTGAAATGGAGGTGCGGTAGTGGCTGAGTCTGTTTCTTCCTCTCTAGTCCAACAATTCAATCCAATTGATCAATCAATCCACTCCCACTTCTGACACCAGTTGTCTCGTGTATGAGTGGCTCTCTAGGGGAGTTGGATAGTTGGATATTGGATTTATTGACCACTTTAACACACAACTCATAATTACATTTAATTATACCACCATCGCTAATTTCCACACTTTACAAGTCATTAGAGCATGCTCTAAGTCTTTTCCAGCCTGCAGTGTCTACACTAGTAGTTGCTTGGTAACGGCATATAACAATCGCTATTCCTCTGCTTCGGGCTCAAGTACTCTCTGAATTGCAGTTCCCATCCAACTGCGTATTCTTGTCCAAGTTGTCCTTATAACCATTCTGCATGGACGGCTGTAGAGAACCCCATTTCCAACAGTGCCTCTGTTGCTGCATGCGGACTGTTGTTGTGGGAACCCGTTTCTTTGCGATCGTTGCCTAGAAACAGCAGTACGCACTACGGTATGTACAGACTGACGTCATCGAACCTAAATAATAAAAATGGAAGTATGGATTCAAATCATGAAAGGCTAGACAAGAAATAGAAAATTTCTATGTAGGCGAATTTCTGGCCACTAATTTGGTCTAAGATTAAGGCTTCTGGTAGTTATGTACGAGTAGTATACATCACAGCGAAAAGAAGCAGGCCAACCTTATGTAACACTGGCTATATAGCCTCGGGGCACGCAGGAATACAACTGAATGCAGCACCATGTTCAACAACAGGAAAACACAACATAACGTACCACAACGTCATTCGTGCGTACAAGAAACTTACACAGAAAACTTACTTTGCTGTGCAAAACAAACGAATACAACTTCATCGGTACCATTACTCAGCCTTGTGATGGAGCCTCCAGCTCCTAAGACGTTAAACCAACACAAGTCCAAAACTGGAATTTTTAAAATTGTGATATACAAAATCACAATTATTTAGTTACTTACAATTACAGTCATCTGTACCAGCACCTCTGTGTGGAGAGGGAGAGCCTCTCCTGACACCATCTGCAAAGCTCAGACCGATTAGGTTTCCGCTTGGGCAGTCATGCAGTGCGACAGTCGGAGGTAGGGCGTGTCCCCTGTCTGGTCTTCTGCATGTAGGATGTCAGAATCCTGGCCAACAGATTGAGATGAGGGTGATGATGCTGGTGTCATCTTCTTGCTCTGTTCGGACCCTGTGCGGCATCATATCAGGTGCCTTTGCGTCACATCTCTGTTGATAGTCTCTTCAGGTATTCCCAGTGTCCCCACACTTCATGGTATATTTGTTGTCCCGTACTGCGACTCTCGACCGCTGGTGACCCTCTTGTCATGGGGGCTCCAGCCCTTAACTCCAGCAGCTTTGTCGGTGTTCCGGCTGCCGCTTTTACAGATCTAGCTTCAGGGCCTTCTTGAGGGGTTCATTGAGGAACCTCTCGCTGCCCATTAGTAGGTAACCATACCACATTCCTGTCCTACACTTCATCCAAGGAAGTATTTGCTGCTTCTCTCTTGATGAAGTCCACAGGTTATCCAGCATGGGCCTGGTGAGCCAACTGCTCAATGTCCACTGTGATTTCATTTAGCGACACGCCGCTGAGTTGGGTGGTTTTGACCAGTAGGCCGCTGGCAGCTGATGGTTTCTGTAACGAGCCTTCAGAGCACTGATTATATCCTCGTTTATCGCAGACTTCGACTGAAACTCCCAACATCGGGTCAGTTCGTCTCTACGTCCCATCGAGTTGTATCTACATCGATTCTTATTGCTTCCATGTCTTGCCGTGTCACCTACAGCTGAATAGGAAAATCCGAGAGGAGATTCTGATACTGCATTTTAACCATTGCCTGTCTGTCTTGCATGTGTGTTATTGTTTCCTCGAATTCTCTCTGGACAGACTTTATGTCACATATTCCGCCCTTTAGTTTGTTTCTTTTTGGCAGGCCGCGATTAGCTCTTGACAAACATGTGTGCCCTTTTTAAGTTCTTCCTGGCGGCGCTTTTGTCCTTTTTACTCTCTTCATGACAGGCCGCCAGTTTTTCTTGGCCAATCTTAATTTTACTATCTGTTCCAAAACCATGTGCAATGCTGGATTAATCGTAAATCCGACTTCTGACACCAGTTGCGATCCTTTATCCTGTATTTGGAACAGTTAATGTCTGATTGTCAGTATCCATTTAAGATCTTGATGTAGGCTTGTCTAGTGTACTGCTATTTCACTGTATGCCACTGTACCATCTTCTTGCACCCACTAACTTGTATCCTTTACTGCCAGCAGTGAACTAAGCCATCGTCTCACAGTACCCACTGTCTCTCTCTCGGCTGTCACACAGATTGTTCTCATTCTCAATGAGCCCTATGTCAACTGTGCAACTTGCCAGCTCCACAACATGTTATCCAGTCATTCTAGAAATTTTTGACGTGCAGTGTGGCAGCGCAAAGAGTTATTTCAGTGTTGTGACATTATGGTGAAATAGTAGTGGACAAGACAGGAAGTGATCAGGGTCATAAGTGGCTACTGACAGTGACACAATAACTGCTTTGTAGTGATGAGCTCTTCACTTCCACAAAAACAGGTGTTTCTTCAAGAGCAGAATAACTTATAGGAGCACAAGCCAGTGACTTAAGCAACACAATTCAGCAGTGAGGTTTGTATATAAAACTATATCCAGTCCTTATTCATGCCAATTTTCTGTCTTGTTTCTTCCCTGTTCCTACATGATCAAAGTAATTTTTGTGTGTCATCCCATGTTAGTGAGATAGCAGAAATCTGTTGATTCCATTTTCCATGTGCATTGACTCAAATGTGGACATGGCTCCTATATTCAGGGCTTAGGCCTTAGGCTGAATGTTTGATTAAAGTAGCAAGCATACGCTGTGTGCCAACTCTATCATAGCTTTAATAGAGAAATGGGAACATGGCATTTCATATTTGGACATCAGGAGGGATAATAATATGCTTGATGCGAACTTTCAAATGTGAATTACAAACTGTAGATTTGGCTGCGCCATAGCTCAAATGGTTAGTCGCTGGCTTCCCATCGCGGTGGCCTGGTTTCGATCCCGTGGTCTGGTCAAGTGGGATTTGTGGTGGACAAAGTGATGCTGGGGCAGGTTTTCTCCGAGTACTTCGGTTTCCCCTGCCAATCTTCATTCCACCAATTGCTTCACAATCACCCTCACCTATCATCTTGGGCTAGTACAATAGGCCAGAAGTGGCCACAGTACAAGGGACTTAGTCCCACCCCACTAGCAGTAAAAAAAAAGAAAACTGTAGATTTTACGAAGATTTATTTTTTTTATTTGGAAGCCTGTGTATTTGAATTTAGGGCATTTTTAGAAATGCCTAGATACCTAGTACTGATATGTTTGGAACTGATAGAACTGTCATGTTTTGAATTATGAATGACTGGACATTTGGATAGAAATGCACAGTTTTATTGAGACTGGCTGTTACATAAAAGTGGATTGATGAGCTGCAGTGGATTCAGATATGCTTCAGCAGCACGGTTATTTGTGCCTGGAGTGGCAATAATGTTTATCTTTGAAGGACAGCTTTCTACATTTCTTGTAGCCAGTGTGCAAGCGGCTGTGGTGTACCACAGATATGGGAGAGCAGGCAGGATGCCGAACGCAGTATATGCCCTGGGCAGACGGTACACCATGTAAAGCCGGACGATGGTGTCAGCGAGGGGAGTGTGTTGTTAAAACTGTCTTGGAGAAAGTTGATGGCCAATGGGGGCATTGGCAGCCGTGAGTATAGTCAGTCTTGTTACCTAGGTCACTATTTCTGGAACAAGACATATATTCTATAAGTAGGACAGCTAATTAAGAACATGGGCAGCACTGAGAATTAGGCCATGAGTGTGTTTTCTGCTGTCATGTCTGAATTTTACAGGGATGTATTTGAGAGCTTGCCACAAATCATTCGGCTAGTCCCACAGAAGAATGACAAGATCTTTTTATCATTTCTTCCACATATTCTTAGAACCCACAACACAATGGACAAGTCCATAGGTCAACAAATCACAAACTATATCCTCCCAGATCAGAGCACGTTCTGGAAATGGCTTCTGTAGTTATGCACACATTCCTTGAAATATTGATGTTCATGCACTTAAGTTTCTTACGGAAACAGAGAAACCTGAGACTTCAGACCCTGTTCTGCTGCTCAGGGCATGTAAGAAATTTTTGGAGGGAATACTCTATTGTAGCATCAGTTTCATCAATTTTCCCTTCATTCAACACTCAAAATTTTGATTCAATTCTTCCTTGCCTAATACTTATCCTATCTCTAAATTTACATGTGATTGTGTGAATATTTTTTATTTGGAACTGCAGCATTCTAAAATTTATGCCAGAATCTTCACATTAGTTTACACCTGGTATCAGTAGCAGGAGCTTGGGATTACAGTTGACAGGCACATGATACATACCCTTTCATCATTGTGGCCATTCAGAGATTTAGTGAGGTGATACTGAAGAGAAACTGTACTGTGTGTTGGACTATTACATGAAACTGAATGCAAGTCATGTCAGTTGACATGAGTAGCATGTGTCCTTCTTTTGATACTGTCCAAATGATTGCAGCAGATTCTCAGATATTCTTCCTGTAGTTCTGTCATTGTAACATCCACCTTCACCACAAAATTCTGAATGTGATTACTGAGTTTTTAGACTTTGTTCTTCATCCGGTATTCTAAAGAACACAATATTTTAGAAGCTGGATCTGTTTCCATCCTCACACGAAAGGGTGGAGACCACATACTCTGCTGAATCAGTTACAAATAGTTAACTTCAGTCGCTGATCCAGTGACTGAAGTTAGCTCTTTCTAATGAACTCAGTACAATGGGTGTATCCTACTCCTAACACTTCTTGTTGGAAACAGATCCACTTTGTAAAATGTTGCCTTTTTGGAATACCATATGATGGGCAAAACCTGAGAACTTGGTAATCTTGTGTATTGTGTTATACACTGTCATCAGAATCCTTTAAAATTCCCAGTGAATGTGAAATATGGAACTAGAATGCTTCTTGCTGGTTTTATGGGTTTTTATGGTGTTTCTTTTGCTTATTGCAAGATATTCACTGACTCGGGGATCAGTCTCTCAGGTTTATTTTGCCTTTGGATAGTTAAAAATAATGTATCTTAGCCTGTTCAAGTATAAATGTTAAATATTTTGTTACTTTTTCTAACAAATTTATAATATTCTATTTTTAAAATCAATTCCTTAAACCAGTATTACCATAAGTAAGTACACGTACATATACAAGATTTCTAACTGCATTTTTCTGTAATAGTATTAAAACATATTAATTGCTTATAGCACATAACTGATGTCAGTAATGTCTCAGTTAATTTCAAAACATTAATCCTTAGATCTCTTTTATTGTCAGGTTTGGAGAATGCTCCCGCACATGTGGAGGGGGTGTCAAAAAGTCAGTAAGGTACTGTAACAAACCTGTTCCCTCTAATGGTGGCCGCTACTGTACGGGTCGGAGAGAGAAGTACCGCAGCTGTGGCACACGTGACTGTCCACCAGGTAGTAAAGGATTCAGAGAAGAACAATGCGCTATTTTCAACAACAACAACTACAATATTCAAGGACTACCTGAAGATGTCAAATGGGTCCCCAAATATGGTGGAAGTAAGTTTCTCATTTCTATAATCTCTCTTGATGGAGATGCATGGAACAATCACTACATTAATCCACTAAGCTGTATAAGTATGAAAATAACGTTTTATTTGCTGTTCACTGTTTTATTTCTGTAATTACACTTATAATTTTGGTTTCTTGAAATAGTGAATAAAGTGAGAGACTGGAGATGGTGTCACCAGTTTTTATCCTGCAGTTGGTTGAGGCACTATGCTACAAGCTGGAAGATCATGGGTTCGATTCCTAATGAGGTTATTGGATTCTTTTCAATATACCTAATCCTTCCAGCCACAGTATGGCATGGGGATCATCTTAGCTTCTCACAGAAATGAGTACCAGGAATCTTCCTGGGGTTAAAGGGTGGCCAGTGTGTAAGGCTGATAACCTCAACAGCATCTGTGACCCGATTGTCTAGAAAATGTGGGAACCTCGATGTCTCACAACCCCATGGGTCTCCACAGCCTGTTACAGGGATAGCTTTTAACTTCATCTTTCACTCAACACCTGTCCCACGGTGAAAGCAATACTAAACACTTTCATCTTGCACCATGACATTTTCTGTCTTTCTTGGTGTCAGATAACAGTGTGAGTCTTGTATTCAGAAAACCCTGACACAGGTTGAAGTTGTCCCTGGGTAGACTACTAGTTCATCCTCTGTACCAAATTGAATGCCACACTCCTGTTTCCTGTTCTTTAGCTGGAAGCTGGATATTCTGACTTGGCTTTAAGTGTTTTTCCTGCTTACATGTGCAGTGATTGTTCCTTGAAATAGGCCACAGCAGATACATCCCACATACTTCCCAGTTTATCATATATGATCTCTCTTATTATAACTTCAGAAATTGTCATAACAATATCAGATGACTAGAAAGCAAACAGTTCTGTCTCAATGTAAGATTTGAGGCTTTCACGGCGGTGACTATGAAGAAAGCGGTCTTTTGGGATTTGGCACCGTGTATCTGTGGTGTTAACCGACGTTTCGGAGGAACGTATCGCCACCATCTTCAGGGTAGAAAAAAAAATATAAGAAATCTGCAAGCGAAGAGACTGTGAGAACTGGTAAACCAGTTCTCATGATGGAGGTGATACGTTCCTCCGAAACGTCGGTTAACACCAAATATACATGGTGCCAAATACTAAAAGACTGCTTTCTTCAGTTCTGTCTCAAATTTGAAGAGTTTCGTCAACAAGTTTCAGTCTGTCCAGTGTACAGGAGATTTAACAGTTCTGTTCATTGTTACAGTCAGCCCTGATGAGAGGTGTAAACTGTACTGCAGGGTTCATGGTACAAGTGCGTATTATCCTCTGAAAGAAAAGGTTGTGGATGGAACGCCATGCGGACCAGATACATATGACATGTGCGTGAATGGAATGTGCAAACCTGCAGGCTGTAACCACATGCTTGGGTCCTCCATGCAACTAGGTAAGTGGATTCAGCAAAGCATTTGTTAGTTCCACCTAGTTTTAACTGATTTTTAAAATTCTCATATCAGGTGGGCTTAATTGGCAGTCATTAGTTTTACTAGAGGAAAGTACCTGTATGACCTATTTCCTTTCATATGTTTTACTTTTCTATAATTTATCTCTCAGTTTAAATGAAACAATAGCATATGAACAAAACAGACATCACAAATTTATTTAGAAGATGTATAAAAGAGCACTTTGTTTTAAATTCTGAATGGTTATGATGATAGTATATTAATTACACTTTGGATGACTGAGTTTGTCCATTGTTGAGAATACAGTGTTTTGGAAAAAAAGATACAATCTGTCAAATGTTGCTCTTTCACAATGCTAGATGATCAAAATATTCCATGAAGTTGGTAATCCTAAGAAGTGGTTCCTGTATAGTGGTTTCTTTAGCAGTTCTTTTCATATGCCTGTATTGTCAAATAGTGGAATGATTTAGAATCTTTAGAAAAGTTTTAAAGTAGCAGTTACACAAGGATCTTCATGATAGGACTATCAAAGAGAATGAAGAGTCTTGTAAGAGTCGGTCTGTAGGTCAAGATCTGAATATAGGACCTCAAGAATGTAACTACAACTACACCAGAGAAGTTATTATTTGTTATAAGGTAGTGTGTTGCATAAAGATGACTGAAGGGCAGAGGAGAACCCATGGAACAACATCAGCTTCTCTGACAAATCCACTCCAGCAGTAAAATTCACATGTCAGCCACCAGTAAAGCATGTGCTTTTCTAGTAATGAGTTCATTATAAATGTTACTTCTGTTTTTACATGTTATGGACAGTTTTAGTACATGATTCTGACTCTGTCTTCAAACAAAGCTTTCTGCTATTCAGTACAACAAAACCACAGTATCACAAGATGACTAGAATGGATCTGGGCGTGTACAGTTTTGTATCTTTGTTTGCTAGAGTTTGTCCCAGGGAATGAAAGCAACCAGGGAGCAAGGAAACCATTTTGATTTGTCTCCTGCCAAGGGCTAGATTGTATTGGAGCTTTACTTCTACATTTCCCTTGTGCTTCCAAGTATGATGCCTGGGCACCTTAAACTGATTGGAGTTCAGATTTTTTTGGGTGCAGACAGTGCTCCTTCAAGGGACTGAGGTTGCTTCTGGAAAAATCAACACACAATATTTCACTGCCACCAAGACACATCATGCATACTAATAATGCAGAAGTGTGTTGCTGAGCCATTCTAAAGTGCAGATGAAAAACAAATATAACTGCCATTTCTGAAGTAAAGCCAAAATTGTTTGCTACCTGAGGAGATGAGATAGTTCTGTAATTGAATTCTTGGTCTGTCAGAGTTTTATATGGAATTTGTTTGTAGCTGATTGGTTAACATTTCATGAATATGTGATCTTCATTCCAGACATGTGTGGGAAATGTGGTGGTGATAATTCAGCATGTGTTTCTATCAAAGGCAGTTACAACAACTCTACGTATGGTTATACCCGAGTAGTACGAATTCCAGCTGGTTCATCCAATCTTGATATTAGACAGTATGGCCACAAAGGAACAACAGATGACAACTACTTAGGTAAGGCAATCTCTTTGCTCTGGGGCGCTTCATGTAATTTACTGTGCATGACGAATGTAAGGGCACTGGCTTGAAAACTGGAACCAGAATCTGTTGCTTCAACCGATTCTAAAATATCTTTACGTAGAGGAAAGTGTATGTGTTTCTTGAACACTAAAACGTTAGGCATAGTTTTCTGAGAACACAAAGGATTATGGCTGTAATATGCTGTACTATGGCCAAACATTAATTAATTTGTTGTAAATAATATCTTCTTGTTGTAAATCACTTATTTATTCATGTTAGTCATCTCACAACTTAAATATGGGCATGGGTGCCAACAGGACACAAAACCAAGACTGACTGTGCTGTGAATAATAGCAGCAATTTAACCAATTGATTGACCAATTATGGTTAACAGTCATTTGTAGCATACGGAAACCCGAGAGTTGGAAGACTAATTTCCAAGCTGTTTCATAACAATGGCTGTCTCCACGATACTTCTGTGACTGTACTAGTCCAGCTTTCAGGCGTCATATCACATGTCACAAAAGAAGTTAATGTGGTATTGTAATGGTTGTCTATTCTGGCTCCACTCTTCCAGGTTTTTCGGGAATTTTGGGGAATACAGACACACCAGGATGAAGGTGATCTCATGAGGCTCCCTTTATTTTCTCCAAACAAGAAAAGTAGACTAAAAACTAACCAAACAGACGCTTGTTATATTGTATTGTGTAATTATGTTTCAAGGATTTCGTTTGTCAAGGAATTATGCTTGAATTTTTCTGTTAATTTGTGTGACATACTTGAAATGGAATCTGTTATTTTCCCCAGCCCTTGTGGACGAAGATACTGGAGAATATATCCTGAACGGTGGGTTCATGGTCTCAATATTCCGCAAGCTTTTGCTGTTTGGTGAAGCGACATTAGAATACACGGGATCTCAGACAGTTATAGAGCGTGTCAATTCTTCTTCCAGACCACTGAAAAAGGATTTAATATTAGAGGTAATATGCAAGAAAATTCAATGTCATTAGTGTAGTCATAAATTGTTCATTAATGTGTTGTTGCACTAGTGTTGTATTCACTCAGAATTACTGGGTTTTGGACTTTATCCATCGTCTGATATTCTAAAAACTAGACGACACATGCCATGTGCTGCAGTGTACTCTATTTTTTAGAATACCGGATGATGAGCGAAGTCCAAAACCTAGTAATTCTGAGTGTTATACCCCATCGCCAGAATCGTTTAGAATCTACTTGTATTGTATGCTGAATGTGATTCTTCCTACCCAAGAAATTAGTTCCTGTTGCTTAGACAGGTTCAGTGTTCTGGACTCTATCTAGGCAGCAAAAGATATCTTCTGTTATAAAAGATTATCAACTCCGTCCATTGTGATTGATACACGTTTTTTCTCCTTTTTAATCTTTTATCCTTTACATGTTTTGGCCAGAGCGACCATCTTCAGGAGGACATGTCAGTACATGCAGAAAGTACTATTACAATGTGATTGGTCATTAACAGTACATACAGTCATTACTACAATGTCATGATATAAAATCTTAACCTTTAACAACTACAGTGATGTGCCTGAATTTGTTAAAATATTTATAAATTATTATAATAAGTTTATTTACAAGTGGGGCTTAAGAAGCTTTGTTAAAATCTAGAACCAGTTGGTTTGTGCCCTTTATGCTGCCTCTCTTTAAGGGGAGATGAATATGTATCAGATCATGGTTCTCTTGTTTCATGAATAGGACTCTTTGGGCTGTGCTGTCTTGATATATGTTAAGAGTTTATATTCATGACATTGTAATGATGATGTATGTATGTCTTGATAATGACGAATCACATTGTAATAGTAGTTTCTGCATGTACTGATATGTCCTTTTGAAAATGGTCGCTCTGACTGAAATGTATCAAGGGTGAAAGATTAAAAAGGAGAAAAAACATTTACCAATCACACTGGATGGAGTTGATAATCTTTTATACTAATACTGGTGTGACAGACAAGGACGAACCAAATCAAATATTCTGTTAGTGGTTTGGTTCTATTTTTGGTGTCACAGGCTTCAGCTCTCTGTTTTCATCTTGTGTGTTGATCACTTGTACGTGGTGAGAATTCCTGTGCACCATATTATTCAGTTCAGTTCCTTTCAAATTTATTCATCTTTTGTTCAAACTATTGACATATACATATATACATACATATAAGTGAAAATTTCTTTTGTGTGTGTGTGATGGGGTGAGACCGAGCCCACTTGGTACTTCAGCTGCTAATTGGCCGATTGTACCAGCCCCTGATGATAGATGAGTATGCAGCATTTGTTGGCATGAGAATTGGTAGGGAAACCAAAGTTCTTGGAGGAAACCTAATCCAATGCCACTTTGTCCACCAAAAACCCTGCATGACCTGACCAAGGATTGAACAGTGGGAGGCTGGTGACTAACCGCCTGAGCTATGAAATGGTCCAGTATTCCAACAAAGTTCCTTCATACCGCCATGCAAACCACTTTCAGTTCATCAGTACAAACAAACGCAGGTATCATGTACTGGTAATGTGCGTTGTAATAAGTAGGATCTTAGCTTGCTTTTAAATTGCATTTTTATTTCCCAAATTTCGTTTGGAAATTTTTTACATAATTCAGTTCTAATACACATTACATATTTACATATTTCTGAAAACCATTCAGTCTACAGAGCAACACTGAGGTGCAATTTTTCGCATGTGCTATGATTATGAATTGCTGTAGTTTGTTCCAGTTTCTCTGTATGTAGTTTTATGTAGTATATTATTTCATATATATCCATACAAGGTACTGGAAGGTTATATAAATCCTTAAAACTTTGCCTACATGATGCATATCTTCTCACATCATTGATTATTCATATAATCAATTTTTGTAATTTGAAAATACTTTTACTTTTCAAGTCAGCACCCCAAAGAATTAAACCATACCCAAGATAAACATGAAATTATGCAAAGTAAATACACCCTATAACATATGGGCTTATTCCGTCCTGAAGAGGTGTGATCATATAATGGAATTACTGAGTTTGGAGCTCAATGACCTTACATGTGCATCCCAGTTCATATATTTGCCAATGTGAATGCTTAGGAATTTTGTTTCTGATTTACAGGAAATATTTGTATTACCAAATTTGACTTTAGGTTTCACAGAACCTGTTTCTTGCCTAGTATGGAATGACACTGCTGTTCCCTCGGTTTTTATTATGAAACTATTTGCACAAAACCATGAGGGAGAGTCAGTCCTAACCCTATTTATTTTGAGCTGGAGGATCTGTCCATTTTCTGCTGTAACTAAAACATTTATATCAACTGCAAATAAAACTGTCTTTGTCTCTTTGAAATTTAGAGCTAATCTACATTTTCTCATGAGGTTGTTTCGTTTAACTCATGTCATCTGCTTCACTGAAAGTAGTTATTTAATGTCTCATGAAGAACAATTTCATGAGCTCTTAACATCTGTGTTCATTATTTTATAAGTGAGAGTAACTTTAATGGTACTTAATATGCCATAATGTATGATCCCTTTTAAGTTTACAGCCCTTTTCATCTGAAATATTGACCCTATATACTTCACGTTTAATATTAATATTGATATTCTGTTTTTCCCCATGGTAGAGGCAAAATTGTGTGATATTTTGGTAAAAGTTCCCTAACAATTAGGAACAATCTGATTTGGAATACACTTTACAGAGGAGTAAGCAATGCAAGAATTACAGACAATGCCTTATTAGTTTAAATGCATCTCTGGGCAGTATTTCTTCTTTTTTTTATATAAATAATATTTGTTGAAATGTCCAAGGAAAACATCTTGTGCTTCTAAGAAGCCTCTAACAAAGTATGTAGTTGTGAGGTTAAGGTATTTTTAAAATATTGCATGCGTATAGTTACAATATAGAACAAATATAAATGCCTCATATATTGTCATGCACTTTATCTCCTGCAGCATGTAAAGGCTAATTAATTTTATTAGGTTCTCTCTGTGGGAAGACTGTATCCCCCAAACATAACGTTCCAATATACAGTTCAGCGTGGCACACAGTATCGGTGGGAACTGCAAGACAAATGGACGGCATGTGGTAAAGTCTGTAATGGTGAGTCTTATATGCATATTTGTGACCTGCAGTGGCCAGAAGCAATGCAGCAGCTTTGTTCCATGTGTGGCTGTAGAATATATGCAGAATGAACTGTTTTGCTTCACAGAAGTTAGTAACTATACATCTGGTAGCTGAACCAAAGGCTGAATACTGCCATTATCAACACCCATCATGGGACCACATCCTTAGTAAGTTCAGTCCAGTTCATTTTGTAGAGGCACCATTGAACCCCCCATTTAATATTCCTGTATTAAAGGATTTCCGCCATTTAAGATTCAATTTCATTGATCCCAACTTAATGCTGTCAGTATTAAAATTCCTCCGTTTAAGACTTTCCTGAGTTTAGTGTTCAGATCCACTGCTCTCCAAAGAAACCTTAATTGATGGATTCAGTGTTATTCTCTAATATATTTTTAGTGTTATCTTCTTATCAGTTTCAGCCATGTCCACAGTTATATCACTGAATTAGTTACTAGGGAAGAGAAAACCCAGTACCACAGAAAAGACTAAATACCCTCCAGTCCCCATTTACTTCTCCCCTCTGAACATCAGTCAAAATTACCCATGAGTTACCACCTTTATAAAAGCGATGTTTCACACAGTGTTATACAGTGCTGGTTGAAGCCATATGTGACTTATTCTTTTGTGGGAGCATCCCCACAGCGTCTGGCAGACAACCGTCACCCCTTTCAGAAAGTGCCAAACTGGCAGCTGTGACCAAAGAGACACGGAATTTATACAATTTCCAACTACTGCGACTTATATACCAACTACATATATTTATAAACTTCGCCGTGACTCTGCCTTTCCGTGCACGGCCCAATGGATGCGCGCCGTGATGACTGCAACTTTAGCTCCGCCTCCCGGCCGGTAGTATTTAAGACCGGGAACCCAAGGTGCAAGCAGTTCAACTCGAAACGGCAACGCAGTTACAGGCATCAACTCCACTTCTGCTACCAGCTGACATAGCTGCCGCAAGCCTTCAGCGAACGCATCTTCCGCTACGCAGCAACCGACCGAGCCAGTCGATCCTACCGGCACGCTCAGCACGGCATCACCGCCTAGACAGGCCAGCCAACGCTTGAACATTATACGTGTATTCCTGTGTTCTGTATATTGACTTTAAAGGGTTCAATATATACAATTGTACAGTTTCGTGTGGTTTGTCCATTGGAGTATTGACGACAATCCCACACTTTATTTGTTCAGCCACATTGACATTGAATATATGTACAGACACAAATACAGAATATCCATACAAGGGTGGCACACATCTTGAAGTTATGGTGTAACCCTTAAGCAGAATGTTTGAGTTTCCCTGAAAAACCTGCCTCAGTAGCCAAGAAATTGTGATCTTTACAAGGTCATGAAATGAAGACTGTATACTATCCTATTCTTCCAATGTGTCACTAAAACACCTGGCATGTTCATGTAAAAATATTCATTGCTAATACATACAAGTTATCATTGTCAGATATTTTGCATATTAATTTATGAATGTGTTTTTACTGAAACTGTAATGATGTATTTTGAAATGTACAACATTGAGCATATCTTGCAGTCAGATAATACATCATCTACCATCTACATCTAAGCTAATTAGCCCGTATTTTGCAAGTGACACTGGCTGGTTGTTAGCACAGGTGCAATTAGGACAGAGGCAATAGGATGGGATGGAGGAATGGAGGACTTTGCTGATATTCAAAGCTATCTTAGGCTCCTATATCAGGCAAACTTTGGAACAGTTTAGTTGCTTTGTGGTTGTAGAGCACACATGCAACTGTAGGAAGCGAGAATGGGAAGGTGAAATACATACTTCTGCTTGAAAATATCATGATATTCTTCAAGATTTTGAGTTCAATTTTTCTTTGAAAGTATTATCAGGAGTACTGCTGCAAGCAAAAATTAAAAAGTTGTAACTATACAAACCGAAAGTAATGACATCAGTTACTGTATCAAAAAAGTGTAAGACTTACAAATTTTTCAACAGACAAATGCAACAGTTTTGAATGAGTTTGGTCAGAAAGGTTGAGCTGCTCACAGGGAGGTAAAGGAAATTTGACATATCTGGGGATGAAACAGCAAATCTCAGTGATCAGGAACAGTTTAAAAACTTCTTATCATTGTCTGTACCATGAAGTAATCAACGCTGTGAAAGGACAGTTGACCAATCAAGTCTCTGAAATATCTCAGAATAAAGTCCCTTTCAATTCTTGACTTTGGAAACTTCAGTCATAACACTATTGAGAAAGTCATGCTGCACTGCTTTAATATGAGTCAGATTTCTTTTTCTGGCACTCAGTATCATTCCATACAAATGCTGACAAGCAAGTGGCAAGTGAAACATATGTGCAGAGAGGGCACTGAAGTTCAGTTGCAATTTCTATTTTCATACACTGGATCTTCTCAGAGGTCCATTTGAAGAAGTGTGATTTAAAGCAGAAAGAATGTTCTTTTTGGATTGAATTTGACAAAATATTTAATGACTGCAGATGCTAACATTTGCTAATAATGGTATCATTGATTTCATTTTCATCAGTAATCTGTCATACGACAGGTCCACAGTCTCTTCAAAAGCAGTTCCTCCACTTAATGCAATCTAGAGCTTTCTCCTTCAAATAAAAATATCCTCTTCTGTCCCCAAGGTCATCCAGCATCTTCTTATGTCTTTTTCCTCATCTTGTCGCATACATGGACACCACACATTGTTCTTTATAGGACTCATTATTTTATATCAATGACTCTATGAGTTGCATGTGAAATGGTAGAATTCATTAAGTTAAGTCACTGGCTATGAGCTGGATGTAGGGTGTGTGATGCACACACAGAGCTGGAACATTTATATGAATATTACTGTTGTCTGGGATGTGACACCATATCCAGTAAGTGGTTCTCTGAAATGTCTGTAAACATCTGCTAGGCTAAGCAAATATCTAGGGAATGTTTACAATTTCCACCACACGCACACCAGTTCTGGAGTCCACCAGACCCTACATCCTCCTGTGTAGAGCAGAGTTACTCTCTCCAGGTTAAAGCACTTGAAGCTGACCATTGACGTTCATCTAGTGGCTAAGTGTACAGTATGTGCAACTGTATTCTGTGTGCTCTCTGTGCTTTTATGATGTGTTGAGGCACAGTGGTAACTCAATATTACTTCATTTTTAAGTATTTAAGATAATTTTCACTATTCCCAGCATTTTATGGAACCCGAAGGTTCATTACCATGTTCACAAGAGCCCTCCACTGGTCCCTTTCCTGAGCCTGATCTATTCAATCCATACCATCCCATCCTATCTCTCTAAGATCCGTTCTAATATTGTCAACCCACCTACGCCTTGGTCTTCCCTGTGGTCTCTTTCCTTCTGGCTTTCCCACCAATATTCTATATGCATTCCTCGTCTCACCCATTCATGCTACGTGTCCTGCCCACCTTATCCTCCTTCACTTGATCATTCTAATTATACTTGGAGAAGAGTACAAGTTATGACGCTCCTATTATGCATTATGCACTATTGTCATTTAAATTGTACTTACATAAAACGGTATAATTTTGGTCTACATGTTGCTAGAAAGTATGCTTAAAAAGCCTTTTATTGAAATTTAAAACATTTCTCTTAATAAATTGCTAAACTTAACATCAATAATGGTACTGCCATCCACTCGGGCTCATGTAGTTATTAATTGCAGGTGAACGTTGGTCATTACCATTATGTGTGAGGATGGATAATTCACAGGTTGTACCAGATGAACTTTGTGCAGGACTTCAGCAGCTGCCCAAATACACAGAATCCTGCAATACTCACTGCATTCTAAAGTAAGTCTGTGGTACTTAATATAAGACATATTCTTATGAAACCCATCTGTGGATTGCTCTGTTCAGAGGAGTAAAGGCAATTAGAAATAGCTCCCATGGGCATTTTCACAGGTGTCCCAACATTGCACTAGCTGATGGATCCACTCCCCCTTTGCCTTTATGTTTCTTTTGAAACTGGATCTTTGTCCTTCAGCACTTTCTAGATGAGGCCAGACACAGGACAGGCCTTGTCAGTATGGGGGTGTTGCAACACCTTCCAGCATGTGGAGTGCAGTGTATCCGGGACGGTGCAGAGGACTTGGGGACATGTGTTGTCATTCAATACAGTGATTCCTGTAATGAGCATGCTGGGGTGCTTTCCCGTGATTGTGGCATGAAAGTCTTGATGTATTCTGCAGTAGTGCTCTGCACTGATGGTGTATTTGGGTCACTAGCTCACAAGTCCTGCAGCTACAATGCTGCCATTTAACACTTAAGCATGCATACCAGTTCTAAAGGAAGACCAAAGCCATGAGCCAGTCATATGACCAACCTTGAAGCTAAACACACTGAGTACTGGACAGCTGCAGGATTGCACTTGTGGGTTCATATATGCTCAGCCAACAGGAGAGAGATCGCTACAGATTTTAAGAAATGCAAAGTTGGTCACTGTATATTTCATATTGTTACGTGTCTCTTGTTCTGTGACAAGTAAAAATTGGTTCTGGATTGAAATTTTGGATTTAATGGCACTTCTATTACAATTACCATAAATTATAACAGCTCACAATCGATGACTGTCTCAGACTTGCTTCATTCCTTGCTGCACTACAAGTGTCTTCTCTTCCGCTGTGACCAACTTCGTTCTGATTTATGAATCAGTCACTTTTTCTACTGCAACTGTCTTGAATGATGGGTATTTTATGAATGCCGAATGATTGAATTATCCTGAACTGAATTCATTTCCAGGCGACCCAAATATAGATCACCACTTCAAACAGCTTGTGTTACTCTGTTTCCACAAAACTACTTATCAAACCGTTGCCCAGTAATGAATTATTCCATGTCTATTTGTTGCAGCAGGAATGTGTGTTTGGTAAGCCTTTGGCTAGCAATGTACTTCTGCTCTTGTTCAACTATTCCTGCTTGCAGGTGTCATGTCAAAATATTTACCATACAAAAGTAAAGATTAAAATCACAGTTATATCTGAAAGTGGGAAAGATAATGTTTCTGTGGATCTACATGGAACTACCATGCTGTGGTATCACTGAAAAATATGCATTTTATATATTTCATTAGTCATAGTGAACCGCTGCTACTCCTGTCTTCACCCTACCACCTACAACCATCATGAGTTGGGAGCAGTTCATCGTCACAGGCTCTCGTGTCATGTTCACAATACTCCCTAATGTTGTCGCAGGGAATCCAAGCTCGCAGCGGAGGGCCTATCAGAAGTTATAATGATTGACCATATAACAATAACAGAATTTAATGAGAACATAATGCAATATAATGCACTACAAGAATATACAAAAAATAGAGCACTGCGGGCATACAATGTCGCTGACAACCCAACACACATGGCTGATTTCAGCCATATACTTATCAGCACTTCGCGGCATCAAACTCAGCCGACATGCCCAGTTCCACTGGCCCACCTACATTATGTACGGAAGTCATTACGCCACAACACGACTTCACTACTGCTTCTTAGTCAGCCACAGGTGGCCCCAAAGAAAATGTATATACTAACTAAACAACTCCGCGTATCGCCGCCATACCTTTCCCCTGGTGGCTGGTGACCACAAGTAACCCTGATGTCTGCGGCCAGCTCCTGACTGCACCGAAACTAGATTTAGAAGAAAACGCCGCCAAACTGAAATTTAGAAATTCCTCCCACTGGTCCATGAACATCCTGGCCCAAATGGATCCACTATCAGACTACACCTCTGCTCCCAAAACAAACTTCCTTCCGAGACACACGGGTAGGAAGGGAGGGGAAAAACCATGTGGTATAGGAGAGGAGGAGGGAGTAAGCTCTAGGACAATGATAAGGGGTATTGTAGAAGATATGGCTGGAAGCCATGACGTCACAGAAGGGAGCTGTTGCTTCAGCACGGCTCAGTAGATGTTTAATATAAGAGTTCATTGTATTTGGAAAGTGCACTACATAACCAAAATTTACTGGATTTGAGTCCAGGTGGAGGACATGGCCAGTCACAGAGTGCTCGACGCATTGCGGCCGTGGAAAGCAGACTCTGGGTTTGCAGTGTGTGCAGCAGTTCCATGACCCAGACATTGGTGACAATACAGTCCATAATAGCTCATGTGCCCATTTACAAAAACCAGCAGAGGTTGTGGACTGTGAAGGTCCTTGCAACTCTACTCACTGGGAATTTGGAATCTGGTCACAGGTAAGGGCATTATTACCTATTATTCAAAGTTGGTTTCAATATTGTGGATAATATATGAAGTTTACCTTTTTTCTGATATTCACAGCACTATAGACTATAGAGGGGTTTGGACTGGTAATTGGATTTACTGAACACTTACAAATTGTAACTACAAGTAAATATAGTGATATCGCTAATGCACACATTTTACAGTTCACTACAGCACATACTAAGTCTTCTCAGTCTGCTGTGCCTTTATCGCTCATCTGGTGATGGCTTCCAGTGCCGTAGAGTTCTCAACTTCCATGTTCACGGCCTCCTGTCCTCGCTTGTTGTCACCTATTTCACCGCAGCTCCTGAACCACCTGGTTTCCAACTGCCTAACTCTCAACTCAACTCGACTCGACCCCACTAACTACCTCCACTGCACTAACTGAAATCAACTCAGTCAGTCAAGTGATGTAACCTTGGAGCTGATCCACAGAGAACACTTGTTACAACATCTCTTCTCTTGTTGCATTACTTAGCTATCACACTGACCACTTGGCAACACCACTTCCCGCAGCTCTCCTATTGTTGTGTGACATCACTGTAGACGCGATGCATAACTCTTTTGCAGTGCTTACAACTCTAGTAGATTATTTTCCTAGTGCAGCACACAGGTAACTTATGTTCATCATTCTCCTGCACTGATACAGATTTTTGGAATAAACAATTTGAACCTTTTTGCAGAGTCTTCATTGAAATTCCTTGGTTGTTACAGGCAAAATAATTCCCATTTTAGCTCTATTTCATGACATGTAAATTCATTTTGTCCTGACATCTTCAGTCTAGCCAATTTAAATACCCTGAATAATGAACCACTATGCGCAAACTTAACAACAAACGCTTTTCTGCTACTAGATGGATAAGTCAGTTCAGTCACAGATGTTATGTGGAAGTATTCAGGTAAACACACGTACATTATCTTAGAGGGCATATGAAGAATTAATCGAAGCAAGTGCATATGCATGCTCAGAAACACGAATTTGTAGACACGGACACAAGTTGCAGTAGGGTTTAATGTTAAGCTGCTTGTGATGGAAGAACTTCTTGTGAATGTTTTCAGTGCTCCAAAACGTGTGGTGGCGGAACCCAGACACGATCAGCCCACTGTGTCGATGAGCGAGGGTGGCCAAAAGATGAGTCAGACTGTAAGCAGAGTGAGCCACCCATTCTGGAGCGACCTTGTGGTACCCAAGATTGCCCTAAATGGGTTCTTGGAGAGTTGTCACCAGTATGTTTCCAATTGTGTTTGGTTTCTCAGTGTTTTCTTTCTTCTTCATTTGTATATTACTCCAAGCATAGATACATATAGATTCTTATTTCTCTTTACTCTGACACTTTCTGAATGCTTTCGGTGTTATTTTGTGGACATTTTGAAGGATGTACGTTCACTTAAGTCAGGACTTGTGATGGCTTCATCATGAAAATCAGACATTCAGTTATATTAATGTAGAAGGCATTGCAGAAATTGTGTTCTGTAAGGACAAATTTGAGACCTCACTGAAAAGCAAACTGACTTCCTGACTCTCCTGTACTGCTCAGATTATGGTACACTTTTTAGCAGTACTTAAAAATTTGAAAGCTTCAAAGTGGTATGATAAAACTTTTGCATTCTTTGCTCTCAGAAGTGAAATTTCACGGAATCGAGCCACAAATATTTTGTTAGTGCCTGTTACATAAGAGTACTGAAATGGTATAGATTGCATCCTGTTGTGTATATAATATTTATCATATTACTTGTGATAAGTATAAGAATCTTTAGTTCTTATTCATTGTTCGTAAAATAAAGTCCAGCGTTAGTGTATTCTGCTGAAAATGTCTTTGAGGGTATGTCATTATCAGATAATGACGCTAGATAATTACTTGATGATCATGAAATTAGCACATTCTTTTTTCAGCATACAGTGAGAACTAATATCACCATACTAGAGAGCTCATCTCTTTCTGTAAATCACCCATTCAAGCTATAACATACCCTCAGAGATGTTTCAGGCCACAGAAGGTGGGGATGCAACAGCATGATGGGAAGCACACTGTGCCTTTTTGTTTATATCTGTGAGCATGCAGGATTGTGCATTTCTTCATGCTGGTGCCCAGATGTTATGCACATCTGTATCTGTAAGGGGGCTTACCACATGATACAAATTAAATTCTGCCTTTTCTTCTTCCCCCCCCCCCAAAAAAAGAGAGAAAAACCCCATTTTTGATTGTACACAGTAACAGAGATGAGAGGAAGGACAAATAATTAAAATAAAAAATAATTGAATATACTATATTCTTTACAACCCTCACACATACATTGTATCAGAAATCATTCATATTACTGGCATAAGTCACAAAATTTACCATTCTAATGACAGGCCATAAGCCTTGCTTCTTCTGTGAAAAAAGTGAAGGCATCCCCATGCTTAACTAAATAAGCACTACGTCATGAAGGCGTAAAGGGGAGTGGATGTATAGGTCAAAATATTCTCGACCCAGGCAATAATATGAGGTGAGTGGTCAGCTTTACACCCCAACCACTTAACACCTGGGTAAAAGCCCTAGTACCCATTGGATAGGAGGCTGGGTGGGCCCTAGAACTGGTCTGGATGATATGGAGAAGAGAAAAATCTTGTCTCTACTGGGACTTGAACTTCGACTCCTTGGCAGTCCAGCCCCTAGCAAGTCTCTATTCTGGCTGCACTATTCCAGATCCTTTGCTTATTTTGTTGTCTTTCGTATATTTCTCTTTGCGTTGGCCTCTGCTGTGTTGAAAACTTTATATAGTGTTGTGGGAACATCCCACATACGCGGTTTCGCCATGTTGTTGGCTTTCCCACACCATCTGCTTTCAACTGTCTACTGTTAGTAATGTGACTTTTCTGAGCTTACCGTATAATTTTCCTAGTCTTATTTTCTTCTGTATTTTATTAAATTTTTGTCTGGAGTGTGTTGCTTCCCCTATACAGACGTTTGAGAAATGCCAGTTTGCCTATATTGGTATGAATGCAGCCTGCTGTGGTTTGGATCTTATTGTTATTGGATGCGCTAATAAAATTGTACCGTTCAGTAACTGAATGTCTGAAGGAATTAAATACCCTGAAACATATGTGTATATACATCCCTGCTGTGACAGACACACACTCCTTCTGATTTGTGAGATTTTCGCCACCTGCTGGATGCTAGGGCATATGTTTTTATCAAATTTCAATAAAGGTAATAAAAGTCTGTTCACAACACACTCTAATTCAGTACACTCACCATTCCAGATTAATAAGAATCTTGCATACTTTGACATGCTTCATGCATTTGAGACCTGAATAAGTATGGTTGAATTCCGCCTGCAGCTTGACATCTTAATTCAGTTCACTTTTCTGTTCTTATTGTATGCTTCCATATTGATAACAATTTTATAGACTTTCTCATTAAAGATACTTTTGTGATTCTTTTGTACCACCGTGCCTGCAAGAAAATTATTGTTCCACTTTTTTTATTTGTTTCATACCTGAAAAATTCAAAGAGCATTCAAATTCACATCAGTTTCACTGAAATGTAGTATCACTCGGTGGATATCCTCAAAATAGGCATATATAAATGTAAATGCATCATAGCAAAATTTGTGTTAGAGAATGTGTATATATGTACATAGTCTACTTGGCGTAAGTCCTTTTAATTACAGGCAGTGTACAAAGAGTATAGAAAACTGAATCAGTGCTGAATTAGTACACATTAACTGTTTGCAGTCTGGTGTTTGTGTCAATATACTGAATATATTTTGACATTGGAGTGCAACAAGTTAATCATCATTCCTGTCTATGTAGAGCAATTGTCGTGGTGTCTCTGCAATTGCTAAATAGTTCTGCTATGGGTCTTCTGTTTTTGTTTTTTGCTTGATGGTCTTTCCTTGCTGGCTTTCATAGTGCTCCGTTACATGTGGTATTGGGGAACGCAAGAACTCGCTCTGGTGTCAGATGGGCAACCGTATAGTGGCACCAGGATACTGTGACTCGCAGCCTGTCCCTCCCAACACAGAAATCTGTACAAGGGAACCATGTGCCTCTTGGCACCAAGGCCCTTGGCAACAGGTAAGACTTCAAAGTGGACGTGACTTGAGCAGTAATTCCTAGTCTTCTATTTCAGATGTTTCTCTCCTTCTGCTAAATGAGTTTAATTGGTCTGTGATTATTCCCAGCAACTAGTTATGAGCATGGATATCAGTGTTCCTTGCACACAAGTTTTCACTTTAGAAGAGAATGTAAATCATTATCCTACTTTGCAGTCTGTTTGGATTGGGGCTGTTCACAATGTAAAAAGTAACTCATGAAGTATTTATTTAAAATGCTTACAAATGAATATGCTGACATGCACTTTGTACATGATTTCTGCAATGGAAGTGGTAGGGCAGCTGTAGTGGAATACCACCGATAACATCCACTTCACAGAATTCCATATCGCGAAACATTTGAGAACCAGCACAGTACTTTGAGGGAGACAAGTTCCTTCCAACAAGTGAATGCATGCAGAATGTGAACAGCAGCCGTGTGAAGGTGTCCTGGCAACAGTGCAGCAAAGCCCAAATACAGATATACACAGAATTTCCAGAATGGCTGGTGTAGTACTGACACAGGCATGGAGAATTTTACACCATGAAGGACAGATAGGAAGGGGTGTACCAGTGACTAAAACTGCACGGTCTCTTGTCTTAAACCCATTAGAATTCTTTGTGTGGGGTTGTTTGAAGTAGAGAGTGGATCATGGTGTTAAATCAAAAGTAGGGCTTCAGCTAGTAGAAACCATAGATGAAATCTTCATTTGTACCATAAACGAATTGGAATGCATACAGTGGCAACATTAAATAGCACAACAATTGGTAGATTGCATTCAGTTTAATGGTGGGCACTTATAACATAACTGACTTCATGGAGCTGAGCCCTTCTTGAGAAGCCACCAATTGCTCAGCTACTCAAGAATTTCCAAACATTTTATGGATCCAGAAGGTTTATTACCATGTTCACAAGAGCCCTCCACTGGTCCCTGTCCTGAGCCAGATCGACCCAGTTCATATCACCCCATACAACCCCAATACATTCCAGTTTAATATTATTCTCCCACCATGTCTAGGTGTTCACAGTGGTTTCTTTCCTTCTACCGTTCCTACCAATGTCCTATATGCATTCATCTTCTCCATTCGTGCTACATGCCCAGCCCATCTCAGCCTCCTTGACTTGATCGTTCTAATTACACTTGGAGAAACGTACAAGTTCTGAAGGTCGCCATTATGCAGTTTTCTCCAGCCCCCTGTCACTTTATCTCTCTTAAGTCCAAATATTATCCTCAACACCCTGTTCTCAAACACCCCCAGTCTGTGTTCCTCCCTTAATGTCAGAGACCAGGTTTCACACCCATACAGAACCACAGGCAAAATTGTAGTTTTGTATATTCTAATTTTTATGTTTTTAGACAGCAGACAAGAATATAAAAGGTTCTGGGCTGAATGGTAGCAAGCATTACCCGAGTTCAGTCTCCCCTTAATTTCCTCCTGAATCAGGTTTTGATTTGTTACTGCCATTCCAAAATATCTGAACTGTGCCACATTTTCCAAACATCTGTTTCCTATCTTTATGTCATGATTTTGCCCTGTATTCTGGTTATGAGAGAGCAACATATGCTTAGTTTTCTTTGTGTTTACTTCTAGACCAACCTCTTTGTATTGTATTATACTGTATTTATTAGCATTCATCGATCCATTAAGCAGATTACACTGATATTTACATAAGATTGTCTTAACATAAAATAAATTAAAATTAAAATATATATAAGAAACTAATGCATGCAACTAAAATTTAGTATTCCTATCAAGATACTCTTCAACTGGGGTAGAGAGTTAAATAAGGTAATACCAGAATAATATACTCCTTTTTGAACTTTAGTTACTTGCATCCATTAAAGTTTGTGTGTTTCTCTTTATGGTATCTGCATTATCCCCTGGTAGATTCACATCATCAGCATAGACCAACAGCTGATGTGTCCTGTTTAATTTCAGTGCCACCTGGTTTTCCTGAACCTTCCTAATGGCATATTCTAAAGCAAAGTTGAAACACAATGGTGATAAATCATCTCTTTGTTTTAGACAGTTTTGAAGAGGTAACATATCAGACAAATGTTTATATATGTGAACTTCACAGTAGGTTCATTTAAAGGCAAGTCAATAACCTATCTAGTGTCATGGGTACCCCAAATTCTATGAGAATGTTGTACAGTACCTCCCTCCTAATTGAATCATAGGCTTTCTTGAAGTCTTTGAATAGGTGATATACTGCCTCATTGTATGCCCATTTTTTTTTTCCAGTATCTGATGAGCGCAAAAGATCTGATCAGTAGTTAATCTGTTACATCAAAACCCACAGTGATGATCCCCAATAATTTCTTCTAAGTATGGACTTAACCTTGAGAAAAGGATATGTGATAACTATTTTTATGTGAAGTTGATAACAGTGATATTTCCCAATAATTACTACGGTCAGTTTTGTCACTCTTTTTTCAGATTGGTACAATAATGTAATCCTTCCACTGTAATCTGTTGTAATAACCTTGAAACTTAATGTGTTTAGGCTTTTTAATTGGTGATAATAAAGATGAGTTTAATACATTTTTTATTCTGTGCTACACAAGGTTAGTACTTAACTTGATAATGGTGTTGAATCAACCTGTAGCTTTTTAGACATTTTTTTAAATGTTATGTAGAACACACTCCTGAAGTTAGGCTAGTAAGTCACAGAACACTCTGTGTATGCTCCAGTGCACCTGCTTTCACAGGTTCATTTTCTGCTGCCGCAAATCTTCTTTCATCCCAACTATGATTTGTTTCTTCACAGTGTTCTGTCACATGTGGTGTTGGTGAGTCTGTAAGGATTGTGACATGTCGTTCACTGGATGGCAAAGAAATGCCTGAATCTTTGTGTTCCACTGTGGAGAAGAAACCTACTTCTAGTCAGAAATGCATTAAACCGACTTGTCAACATGAGATACTGGTGAGAGTTATGCACTATCTGTGAGGAAACAGAGTGAAAGGTTGTATGTTTGCACTGACATCTTTACAGTGATCCTGTGCACCCAGCCAGTGTGGATTTCCATGTTGTTATTTGTGCTCCATACTTTCTTTCTAGATTTGATGAAATGTATTTGTATTTATTTTGATATAGCCCTTAATTCATCAGGCATTAATTGAACTCTTTTTTTTTATGAAAGTTGATTTCTTGAGCATGGCATTCTCACATACATACTGTGGGGATGTCTTGGCTTCAACATCATTAACTCAGTGGATGTGGAGATGTAAGAAGATGTGAATAACATTGTTATTATAGTATACTGACATATCTTTAGAAAATATACTAATTTCTATGGAGGTAACCTGCAATAATGGTGGAAAATAGCATTAAAAAACTCACTTTTTGATTTTCTGAATCATCAAGAGTTGAACATTTGTATTTTGTATGGTAATGTAAAGACATACAATTTTGTACTAATCATGTATGCCTTTTCTTGCTGTCTGAAACGAAGATCCAAAACGACACTTTGAAACTTGTTTCCCAGTCAGAAGTAGGCCTAAAAGTCTGATGAGAAATGCTGATATGAGTGAAAGAGATCCAGTAAACTGTTTCTGCTGCAGTCCTTACAGTCTCTTGTAAATCCCTTAGTATTTCATGGACTCTTCTAATAATACATAACAATCTTAACTTGTTTTCAGTCATCAATGTTTCCTTCAACTTCAACAACGTCTGTGTCCCTTTCCGTGGATGAGGATGGCAACTTAGGTCTTCATTCACCACATCTTCATCGCAATAACATCCTCCCAACTTCTGTGCCATTTCCTGGTGCAGCAGATAACTCCATTCCACATGGAGATGAGGACATAACTAACAATGTGCTTTATGAGCCAGGGGCATTTGGACCAACTCACATACATGGTGTGTGGAAGGCCTCGGAATGGGGACCTGTAAGTACAAGAAGAAACCTGAAACTTCTATAGTGTACTTGATTATGAAAGATGAACTTATGTTATTATGATGCCTGTGTTGTCTAGAGGTCAGAGTTCCTTGCTACAGATCCAGAGGTCTGGGTTTGATTCCCGGCGCCACCAGATTTTCTGAGAAGTAGTGGGTCTGGAACGGGGTCCACTCTGCCTCATGAGGATAATTGAGGTGCTATTTCAAGGAAACAGCAGCTCCGGTCTAGAAAACAGAAATTAACAGCTGTGAGGATTCATTGCACTGACCATGTGACACCCTCTATCCGCAAAAGTTGGCACTAACTTCACCGACAAGTGGTGGTCACTCAGTCGGTATAGTTTCCTTGTGGACTGAAACCACGGAGTTTTTTTGTTTTGTTTTGTGTGTCATCTACTAAATTAAATGGGACACATCAGCTGTAGGATATTGGAGGGAAAGCCAGAAGGAAAGAGGCCACAGGCAAGACCAAGGCTTAGGTGGGTGGACAATATTAGAATGGATCTGAGAGAGATAGGATGGGATGGTATGGATTGGATAGATCTGGCTCAGGATAGAGACCAGTGGAGGGCTTTTATGAACACAGTAATGAACCTTTGGGTTCCATAAAATGCTGGAATTTTCTTGAGTAGCTTCAGAATTGGCAAATCTCCCAGAAGGGCTCAGCTCCATGAGTAAGTAAGTAAGTAAGTAAGTGTCATCTGTTAACATTTGAACCACATGACAGATTAAAAAAAATGTGGTATGGACATTATACCATTATAGGAGGCTCCACTTTTGTACAGTTTCATTTGTCGTCAGTAATACCAACATGACATGCAACAAACTTCTGAGTTGGGACTGACAGTAGTGATGTGATGTAGGGTACCAAAATCTTGTGGTAATTGATCTTAAATAATGAGCAATTCTGGTAAGGGAATGTTCTGTAGAAAGCAAAATAACACAATGGCAGTTGCATAATATATATATTTCTGTTTGTTGGTGATAACAAACAGAGTTGAAACTTTTTGTGGAAGTAGATCATAACTGTTATTCTGTGTTAAAAAGTCACAGTATGGACTGATGCATGGGATGGAAAGTGGGCATCACAAATCCTTCCTAGAACTTGCCTTTTTAGTGCATTGTTACTTATTTTATTCTCCAAGCCAATTACATCCTGGTAGCTACTTTCCAGGATTATTAGGTTATCAGTGTGCATGATGGACTCCCTCATTCGTAGTTAGAATCTCTAACTTGCAACCTCAATATCTGCTTCCCTTGTGCCACGCAGACAGCAAATTTTCAACCTTAACAGGGACCAGCAAGCAAATAAAAGTTCATGCTTCCATATGCTTGCTGGATGGTTGTTTCTCTCTCCTGTTTGCAACTCTTGCATCTTATTCAGGAGGAACCAAGTTTGAATTCTGGCAAGCCTGAGAAATCACAGATTTTTCTCAGTGTCTCCAGGATAATGCCAAGCTAGTATATTATGATCACCTATTTCCTAGTGCTGGGCCACTTGCAATGCCTGGTGATCCTAGCAGCTTGTTTCAGCACAACGTAACCTGATCATTTGACTTGTTATATACTGTAGCATTAGAAATGGACAAAAGTTGTGTTTCAGGTGGTTTCTCCAGTGCATTAATTTGTGTCTGTACAGTCATTTAGATTTCAAAATGTTTTGAAAATTTTAAATATACTTTGGTTAATATAGCCAGGATTTCAGCAGGGAATATAAATGTATATGTTTGTTTGTAGTTTAATTTTATGATATTGTTAGTAGCTCATCCTGTTTGGCATCAAATGGTAGATCAATAAAGGAATTGAAAGAGATGTGGAAGGAAGCAGCCATGGCCTAATTTGAGGTACTGTCCTGATGTTTGCCTGGAGGGACTGAGAAAAAAGATGAAAAATCTTAGTGAAAACGATCTCTGCACCAAGAATTGAACCTGGTACCTTACAGATACAGAGGAGGAGTGCTACCCACTTAGTACCATATTCAGAGCTTAGGAGTTTATTTCATGGGGAAAAGTGATTGCAATCAACTAGAAAACTGTATATGCTCAGCAGGATTGTGGTCACCATGCCTGATTGCTTGTCACTGGGGCTGGCATGCATTCACATTTCCTCACTGAAGGCACTCCCAATTGTTACTCAGCATAGGAATTGCAAGAGCATTCAATGGTTGTTCTGGTGTCAGTGTTCTGTTACATGTGGGGATGGAATCAGGCGGAGGGCAGTCACGTGTATGGATTTGTCTCGGGCTACCCCCATTGACAAAGCGTACTGCACTAAAGCTGTGTATGTCACAACAGAAGAATTCTGCAGGCGACCTACTTGTGCATCCTGGAGAGTTGGGGACTGGACATCATGTTCTGTTAGCTGTGGCAAGGTAACAATCTGTGTGTAGTTAGTTATATTAATTGCAGTTCTTTGCAAAAGTGTAGTCCTGCTTCATACAATGAAACCCCTATGTACATTTCCTTCACTTAAGGTCTTCCTTCATTCATTGTTTAATTTCAGCGATCTGAGGTCGATAATATCATTGTATAAATTTCCTCCATTTAAGATTTTTCTCAATTTATGTTAAAATTTATTGATCATCAAAGAAACCTTAAATGGGGATTCCACTATAATTCACATGACTCACTCTCATGCTGACACCTATGGGATCCAGGGGATCACCAAGTAACTGCATTATGAACCTCTAACAACCATTTTCCTGAAACAGTTTTCTGCACTGAAGAAACATACCATATTTCATCACATAATTTGTACACTCCCATTTTGTCATGAAATCAAGGAAAAATCCATATGTATTTTCTGCAGTCCTTTCTTATGAACACAGGAGATAGAACCCTGAGTAATAGGGTACTTAGCATAGTTTGACACTGCAGTTGCTCCCTTTCAGGAAGTACCCTGCTCCTCTTGTCCAACCATGGCTTCACCTCTGACTCACTGCTCACTGCAGCCTCTGTGTTAGAGCTTCCATTTCCCAAAGGCATTCATTATTAATTGTGAAGATGGCAACTGCATTGTTTGCCAAAATATTGGAAACCTTTCACCATTCATGCACATTCTCTAACCAAGAACAAGAAATATGTAAAGTGTTAAGTGAAAGAATTAGATATTTTTTCTTACTGACTATAGCATCTTAATGCAACCTACTCATTTCATTCAAAAGAATGTTGTAACTTCTGTAGAAGGGTCAAGCAGGTGATGATATTTTTCTTTGTTGACCGTTTTTATAAATTGTAATCCAAATCACACATTCAGGTCTTTGATCATAACATTTTGAGAAAACTGTGCATGAATTATATGATGAAATACAGTATAATATAAAGTATGTATTTCATGAAATGTTTGGTGAATCCTGAAATATTTGAAAGAATTTAAACATTTATATTATTCTTCAAGTGATAGCTGATAATTAGAAAGAATTCTAGTGTAACCTTTCCATTTTTAAAGGGGTGTGTAACCTCTAAATATCATGAAATAAAAATCATGAACTGCTAAATAAAGGGTAAAAGAAGACAGAAGTTTCTGCAATCCTGTTTTGAGTATGAAAATGACTGCATGAACTTATGTGATATTTAGAACTCTCATGGTGAAGAATGCTGTCTTCTGGCATGTGACACTCTTTAGTCTGCCAGAAATCCTACCGGCCTATATGGTGTTACATCCCTGAAGATAGTACTCCTCTGTGAAGTTATATTTCTGAGTATATGATTTTTGCAAGACCATAACAAACCATTGACATGAAGAAAAACATAACGTTTACCTATTTTTTTTATTGCTAGTGGGGTGGGCCTAAGTCCTTTGTACTGTGGCCACTTCTGGCCTATTGTACCAGCCCCAGATGACAGGTGAGGGTGATTGTGGAGCAGTTGGTGGAATGAAGATTGCAGGGGAGACCGAAGTACTTGGAGGAAAACTGCCCCAGCGTCACTTTGTCCACCACAAATCCCACTTGACCAGACCCGGGATCGAACCTGGGCCGTCGGGGTGGGAAGCCAGCAACATTTACCTAACTCTCAGCAATTTTGTTGCACTGTTGACAATACTAAAGCTCAAACTGCTGCCTGTAGTTAATTGATTTAGGTGTTAAAGTTTTATGTGATACCAGTTTTTTATGATTTATTGGCATCTCAGAATGTGCCTTTCTTGCTAACAAGCTGAGAGAGTAGTGGAAGCAGAAAGTTACTTCTTTTAGTGTAAACATTTCCAGATTACAATTTCACCAGAATCCAGTAGATGTTATGTGTTCACAGACAGAAAGATAATAAAGAATTTCCGCTTCTTTATGGGGAGTGACTTCTGCAGTTTCACTTTCCTTACCTCCAGGGAATATCAACAAGAGACGTGACGTGCATTGATTCACTATCCAATGTGGTGTTAGCCAGTGATCAAGCTTGTTCTGACCACAATTTGGCACAACCAGAGAGAGAAAAGGAGTGCTATGTTAGAGACTGTCTAGGTGAACCATCTTCAGAATATCCAAATCATGGAGGGATGAATGACATGGGGAAGGACCTCAGCAATGCAGGCTACATGTGGCGGACAGGACCATGGGGAGAGGTATGCTGTATCCCCCAGTATGCTTTTCATACATTCATGACCGTATCAGAATTTTTGTCAGACTTATGCCTTGCCATTTGCCAAGGAACACTGTGAAACTTCCATAATCCTCTGCAGTTTTTCAACAGATATGATGTAGTATCCCAACTGGAAAAAATTGAGCTTCAGACATCAAAATCTTAAGAAAAGTCATTGTATTCTGAAAGAATGTACCTGTTCTTTTGAGAATGATAACTACCGAGAGGGCTGATAGAAATGTAATACAGATGATAGGGTGGAGATATGTCAGAGATAGCTTGAGCAGAGTAATTGTATTTATATATTCAGGAATGAGGAATTTGAGGAATGTATTAATGTTGGTGAACTTGTCAGTGCCATCCAATTTACTCAGTACATCAGGCCCCTTCATTAAATGTCACCAACTAACTTATTGCATGCTGGTGTCTGTTAACTGTGGGTGTCCTTTTTGTTCTCAGTTTTGAAGTATTCCAAATGGTTTTGGTGTGCTGTGGAAGATGAAGATCTGGACTTTCCATTTCATGTTTAATAAATACTGATAACAGAACGGAAAGTCATAGTATGTCCAGCTATTGTTTTGCCAACATGATTTGCTATCCCACCATGAAGCACTAGTTTACATGACTGAACCATGCTTCTATTTTTTAAAGATCTTTGCGGCCGAATAAGATAAGACAAATGTAGATCTGTATATATCAGAAATGTAATAATTCCTTCTTGTTTTTGCTTAGGATTATGTTGGGTGGAATTTATAATGCCGTATATGTCAAGAGCTTCTGTTGTTTACTGCCACCACAGGCATGTTAAACAAGTGAAATCCCTGTTAAATAAATTACTGTTAGAATGACGTAAAAGTAAAGAAAGTAAGTAAAGCTATCCCTGTACCAGGCCCTGAAGGCCCATAGGGTTGTGAGATGTTGAGGGTCCCACATTGTCTAGACAATCGGCTCAAAGGTGGTGGTAAGGTTGTCAGCCTTATGCGCTGGCCATGCTTTACTCCCCAGGAAAATTATTTAATTCCTGGTACTCATTTCTGTTAGAGGCTGAGTAAATCCCAGGGCCATGGTGCGGCTGGAAGGATTAGGTCAACTGAAAAAAATCCAATGACCTCATTGGGACTTGAACCCATGAACCCTGTAGCATAGCCCCTCAACCAAGTATGCCACAGAATGACCTATCTTACAATAAATCTGAATTTTTGCTAAATGGCTCTTTTGCAAAATTATGTCAAGAAACTGTTAATTTTTTACATGTTCTGTATATAATTATGATCATATAATTTCAGTACATAAGTACACATAAGGAAATTTTTCTGCATAAAAAGTAAAATTACATGACCAGTACTATGAAATTGATATCTAAAATAATTAGTGACTTATGAAATGAACACAGTGGCTGTGCAGGATTGATTTCAATCATGGAAGAAATACAATTTGCTCTTTCAATTACAATCACATTAAATCATGGGAGGTCAAAATTTGTTATACCAAATGTGGGTTATTTGCTAAATTAAATCTCATTAGATACAGCAAAATGAAATGTTTTTATATTGGGCTTTGGCTAGGAAAAAAAATTCTTAAATATAGGATTTAACTAAATGCTGGAACACTGCACTGCAACTGTTTGGCAGTGATTGTTACATTGGCATTGGTCTGGGCTCATAATATAAAATTGCAACATCCTTTTGCTGTGCAAATTTTGTCATTTTTGTGGATTCAAAGACAGAATGGAATATAAGTTTTGTGTGTTATCATTTCCCAGTGAAAGAAAAAATTAAAGTTAAGTTTGCAATTTGCAGTAAGTTACCATTGTGCTTTAAGGCAATGCTGATGAAATGCTTGTGTATTTTGATAAATCTTGTTCTATCTTTAGTCTCAAAAATGTTCTAGATTCTCATGCTGATGTCATGTTGAACTGGGAAAATAATTTTCACACAAGCCTAGTTATGAATAAGAAGAAGATTCAGTTGACGTAGTAATCCGTTTGTCTGTGCTAGTGCTCAAAGTCTTGCGGAATGGGCTACATGCGGCGAATGGTGGCATGTCCTTCTGAAGATGGAAATGAAGGGGCAGAATGCAATAAAGCGGACAGACCAGTTGATAGAATAGCATGTAATGTAGAACCTTGTCCTGCCTGGAACACTGGTGGATGGTCGGAGGTAGGAAACTCAGTCACTCAGATTTCAAACTATCCTGTCTTCTCTTTTAAAAGCATTCCTTAATTATTTGTCTTTGAGATATATTTTTTACTGTAATGATAACATTATGATGTCTCTGTTATATGGGGGAGAGTCAGTAAACAAGTCACAATTGGATATAAAACATAAAACATGTCATACTTGAACCTTAGAAAAACTTTTATTTCTCTACATATCATCCACCAGCATTGACACACTTGTCCCATTGCTTTACCAGTGCATCAAAACCCACAGCATAGAAGTTTTTTTGACTGCTCTTTGGTATAATACTCCTCAAGCATGGTTGCCATTTTGACTGCTGAAATCAGTCACTGAACATGCACATGCTTGTCTGCTACCTAGACTGTCATGAAGCTGGACTATGCTGCTACATAGTGATGCACATAGAAAACCTATTACTGCCATTACAGCTGTTTTACTTCCATTTGTGACCTATTTACTGACTGGCCCTTATATACACAAAAATGCTGTGGAAGAAAAATTCTGTGTCCATAACATGAAAGTTAAAAGGTATTATAACTTGTCTGATGTAACTAGAGACACGATAGGCCACTGTGTCAGCACACAGTTTAAGTAGTGGGGTAAGGCAGTCTCTAACTTCTTGCATTGATGTAAATGTCAAATTTCTGTGTTTCAAAAAATGTCCTTTTTAACATGTCCTTATAATTGATTCTGATTATGAGCAGCACTAAGGAAAGAAAGGGAAAACAAAATATTGCATAGCCAGAATGGACAGATTGTCTACTCTGCATGTTCTAACACTGTTAAGCTGAATAATTATAACTGAGGGGTAAGCAATATCATGAGAAACATGCTTCCCCTGCATCCCAACTACCTCGTTTTCTACCCCTCTGCACAAGTAGCAAAGTTCTAGGTATGTCAAACAAGTTACATTGGTTTTCTTGCTTGAGTATTCCGTTTTTGCAAAATGTTGAAATATGCAATTTTGATATTTTGTCTGTGGGTCAAATTGTTTATTTTATTCATAAATTTATTCTTGACATATTTCATCAAAAGTCAGTGTTCTGGTACACATTGAAAGTTGTCAGGAATACTTAATTTTGAGTCATGCTGATACAGTATGTCACATATTCTCCATGCAGCTGAAATAAAGATTCTTTTTATGGCAATGGAAATACGAGTACAAAGAGGAAAATATGTTGTGCCGTTGTGCAGTGTAATATGTGTATACTGTTAATTAACATTTTGAACAATTGGATTTGTGATTCTCTGCATTGTAGTAGCATATATGATTTTAGTGGGAAAGCCAGAAGGAAAGAGACCACTGGCAAGATCAAGGTGTAGGTGGGTGGACAATATTAAAATGGATCTTAGAGAAATAAGATGGGATGGTATGGATTGGATTGATCTGGCTGAGGATAGGGACCAGTGGATGGCTCTTATGAATATGGTAATGAACTGTCTGGTTCCATAACATGCTGGGAAGCTCTTGAATAGCTGCACAATTGGCAATTTCTCAAGTAGGGCTCAGCTCCATGTGTGAGTGTGTGAGTGAGTGAGTGAGTCCTAGGTGTGTTTGTTGCATTTTTGCACAGTAAAATTTCTAGAGGCCAGTTAATTTTCTTTTTATCTTCCAAGAATTTTGATGTGGTGTCAAATGGAATGCATTCATGACATGGAAACCTTATGAATAAAGATGATGGTAATATACTTCCCACTTTGATTAGATTGGATTAAAGGGTCGGGTCATACCACCTCTGCACTGCAACCAACTTATATCTTTTATATGTCCCATATATAAAATTTGGCCCTTCTTGCAGTCCCTTGCTTCTAATGAAACACAGAACTATGAAACTTTATACATCTACACTTGTAGAGTTTATGAGCTTTTTATGCTCACTATGACAGAAGAGAACATTCAGAATCAAAAGTTCATTCAGTATGGACCATATTTTGAAATTTAAGGTAGGAAGTAGATATGTCAGTAACTACAAGATGCTCAAGATGCTCAAGAATGACTTTCTGTTTTGGGAGTGGTTTTCGGTTTCTCCATTTTCAGTGCAGTAAGTCATGTGGGGACGGTGGCTACCAACATAGACAGGTCAGATGTCAGTCACATACTGGAGAGATACTGGCTGACATGTTTTGCTCAGCCCTTGAGAGACCAAACGAGCAGCACATGTGCGATTTACCCCAGTGCCACATCAGCTACAGTGACTCCAATCTGAAACCTGTTACTAAGGAATATCAGTGGCGAACAGGCATTTGGAGTCAGGTGAGTTTTCTATTATATTTGTTGAGAACATATTGATGTTCTTGTCTGCATAACAAATACTAATACTGGACTATCACTGGATACTAAAATTTAAGTCTTTTAGGAAGTGTTAACATGTGGAGCTCTATGAGATTGGTCAGTCTAGAATGGCACTTTGGCACTTTGGCACTTCTTTGAAAGACACTGATGTGAAATATAGATATCTTATAGTTCATTTAATTTCCAGCTCCTGATGTGGAATTGTCAGCCTCTTTGAGTACGTGCATTTCATGAAATATTTTTGTCTAATTTTGCATTTTAAAACCTACAGCTGTCTGTGTATATGAAACCCAAAAGACAGCTGGGCTGTCCAAAGAATATTTTCAATAGAAAGCTGTGAAAGTAGTTGTGGGATTGGTACCCAGCCAATGTTGCGACCCTTGCCAAAAACAATTTCCACTCTTTATAGCATATATAAAATTATGATGTAATAATGGATCACTGAAGGGGTCATCTGTGGAAACTGCAGGTAGAAATGGGAATTCTTTGTTCCAAGGATTCCTGCTTCTAGGACCTTTCTGAATAAAATATGGCTGCATAATAAGCTCTATGGTATTTTCCACCAGGTAGCAGGGAAATGCTGAAAACAAATTACACAGTTGATGGCATGCATTTTCAGTGAAATGATGATTTAATAAAGAGTAGATCATCTGTGCAAACTGTAGCTTGAGATGTGAATTGTTTCTTTCAAAACTTTGGTTTACTACAGGAGAATGAAGGTCAGTACAATGTATTAAGAAAAGGCTTTACAGCATGCATACAATGACGTGGAAAGTTTTTGTCCCTTTTTGGCAGTTGACATCATTCAGAATAGTGTGCAACTGCATATTATCCAGGCAAAGATTATAAAATGTACTTGGGGAAAAAGAAATGCATGGTAGTAACGTGGAAATAATTGCTTGTAGTAAAACGTGTGAAGTGTATGCAATACTCTTTTGGATCTGGGGTGTTAGATCACTTGGCCACTGACTAGTGCAGACGATCAGGTGGTGAACGAGAGAAAAGCATCTCTGTTTTTTGATTATCATGTTTTACAGTGTTCGAAGACATGTGGAAAGGGTGAACGTCACCGGCTAGTTAAATGTGTAGAGGTGCCTCCTAACACATATCCTTATCAACAAACTGCAAGTGCCTTCTTAGATGCACAGTATTCGCGATATTACGAGGAGTGGCAATTAGTGGAGAGACAGCGAAGACTGAAGCTGAAGCCTAAGTTTTTGAATGGTGCTGAGATGGTGGTTTCTGCAGCTAAGTGTGATCACACACAGATGCCTAAGGCTGTTCGTGGATGCATAAAACACTGTCCATTCTCTTGGATTGAAGGGGACTGGTCTGAGGTATATTATGAAACATTTTAAATTTTAAGGTTATATTTCTTTAAAAAAAAATTAAATTTCACATTCACCAACTCTGTTTATCCCCATGTCACTTACTGTTACAAGTGAATACTTCCTGTTATGCCACGTTGGTTAGCTTTTATAATAACAGTATAAGTTCAGCTGGTGTTACAAGAACTGCATGAAGTCCCAATGTCAATTAATATGATCCTTTGTAGCCAACAAGTGCACATTGTTTCATTTCAGTGGAAGTGAAAATTCTGTATTCTGTATTTTATTTTCATCTGTTTTGCTACATAGTAACATTTGGACATGTCATTCAGTAATATAAGTTAACAAAATAAATCTACATAGTTACAAGCATACTATGAACAATTATGCCACACGTGGTAGAAAAGTAGATATTTCATGTAGAATTTGAGGTAAAGCTATCCCTGTAACAGGCCATGGAGGCCCATAGGCTCATGAGACATTGAGGCTCCCACATTTTCTAGACAGTCAACAGATTCGAGCCTGTGGCCTTCTGGCTTGTAGCATAGTGCCTCAACCATTTGTACCATAATAAGGAGTTTTCATAACTTGTACTCTTCACCAAGTATAGTTAGAATGATCAAGTCAATGAGGATGAGATGGCCAGGGCATGTAACATCAATGGGAGAGAAGATGAATGCATATAGGATATTGGTGGAAAAGCCAGAAGCAAAGAGGGCACTAGGAAGACCAAGACATAGGTGGGTGTATAATATTAAAATGGATCTTGGCTAGGATGAGGTGGTATGGACTGGATTGACCTGGCTCAGGATAGGGACCAGTGGAGGGTTCTCGTGAACATGGTAATGAACCTTCAGATTCCATAAAATTCTGGGAAGTTCTTGAATCGCTGCACAGTTGGTGGCTTCTCAAGAAGGGCTCAGCTCTGTGAGAGTGAGGATTTGAGGTTTTCACAGTGGTGGTTAAGAAGAGTTACATCTTCTGGAACATTACACTGTGTAGTCTCTTGCTCTAAAATATCAGTTCACTTTCAACAGACTACACAGCTCTGTATCCAAGAAGATGGAACATGTTACTCCAGAACATTGGTTGGCTCTCAGTAGACTACATGGTATTATGTCCCAGAAGACGGGACATGTAAATATTTCATTCCAGGACAATTCATATTGAAAGGCTTGACTGACTGACTCCATGGAGCTGAGTCCTTCTTGAGAAGCTAATAGTTGCTGAGCCACGCAAGAAATTCGCAGAATTTTATGGAACCCGAATGTTCATTACCTAGTTTACAAGAGTTTACCACTGGCATATATCCTGAGACAGATGGATCCAGTACACACACCAATCCTATTTCTTTAAGATCTATTTTAATATGGATCTATTTCCTTAGTGGTGTCATTCCTTCAGGTTTTCCCACTGAAATCCTGTATGAAATCCTCTCGTCCCTTGTGCATGGTACATTCCCTGCACACCTCATCCTCCTTGGTTGTATCATTCTAATTATATTTGGCAAGGAGCACAAGCTTCTCATTATGCAGTTGTCTCCAGTCCCCTTTTATTTAATCCCTCTTCAGTCCTCTTTGTATTCTCTTCAGCACCATGTTCCTAAGTACCCTTAATGCAGAGGCCAAGTTTCACACCCATACAGAATTACAGGCAAAATAATTATAGTTTTATATATTTTAATTGTTCAGTAAGTTCAAATGCTGATTAACCTCTTCTGCTGTGGTTTGAGCTGTGTGGAGTGTTTTAGAGGGAACCTCCGTAGGTTGTGATGGGAATGAGAAAATAGGAAGAATATGGACCTAAAAGGTAAGGAAATTATCCATTGGGAAGAAGTGAATCCCCTTGTAGCATTGTTAGCTGTTCCATGATCTAAAATGGGATTTTTGAATGAGAATGGTCATAGCACCATCTCTGCTGCTTAAGAGTGGTGTAGCCTGATTTGTGTTGCTTTCTGGATGACTCAACTAATATAACCGGGCAACTCTTAAGATCACATTTCTGTTTTCTCATTACTTCACAGGCATGCCAACTTTCACAGCTCTGCCCTCTCTTCTCAATTTGCTCAACTTCTGTGCATTGCACAGAACTCTGCTTGACTGCTCTGTGCTGTACTGCACTGCACTGAACTCCACTTAACCACCCTACAATGCACCGAACTGAACAGTAACTGACTCACTTATTAACTAACTAACAAACAAAGAAGCTTGCCACCAACTCCTTTTATATCCAAGTCACCCATAGGGAGGGTTCCTGAATGTTTGGAGACAACCTCAGTCTTCCATGTTAGCCAGTTAGTTTCTGGAATATTCCAGATGTGGGGGTATTAGTGTTTCAGTAGGATGACAGGCACACACATGCTAGGCACAGCAGTCCCTCTGTGCTCTATTCCCACAGAAATGTGATTACTTTCATTTGTAATAAGGCTTATTTAGGGTTCCTGAGGGAAGCGGTATGCTTTGCATAGTGGTACTATCGCAGCATCTCCTGGAGGGACTGAGGAAAACCATGGAGAACCTCAGTCAGGGTGCTCAGTATCTTGAATGAGGTTTGAAATGAACACCTTATGCATGTAAGTCAATAGCCGTACTGCTAGCAAACCCATTGAGTTATACTAGTTGTTTCCTGGCCAGAATTCATTTCTTTCAATAGAAATTGACTAGAGATATCCAACTTTTTCTACATGCAAAATCTGTTTGGACGTGCATCAAATGATAATGACTGTAATGTACAGTATATATATATTTCTATCTGTTCATCAAAATTTGTGAGATTCAGCTCTCAAGCCACTTGCTGTATTTTAGTTAAGTTTTGCATGTGTGAATCCACTGCAGAACCAGAATTTGTATGAAGCTGATACAAGCTTATGAAATAATTATAAAGAAGATCATCACACAGAACAGATCGTATATGATATCCATGGCCTGCATAATATTATGACCTGTAATTGGGATATTTTTTGCTGTTATAGGAGGGATGACATTTTTATATTATGTAATATTTTCACTCTTGACTAGCTTCAGTAGCAACAGGTTTCTGTTTACAAATAATAGACATTCAGACTGGTACATCTGAGAGCCATGGTCCACACTGCACTACAAATTTCTACTCTTTTGCATTCAAAGCGAGTGACTGTAGAAGTTAGTATTGTACTTATGCTGAGTGACATGTTTGTGTGCAGTGCTCCCAATCATGTGGACATGGCATCCAACAGAGATCTGTTCAGTGCCACCATCTGGGTTCAGTGGTCTCAGCAGATGACTGCAACCGTGCTGAGCGCCCATCAGAACAGAGAACCTGCTTCAGTTCTGACTGCCAGGATGAATTCTACTGGCATGCAGGAGAGTGGCAAGATGTGAGACTTTGTCATGTAATGTCTGTAGAGTTATTGTATATTTGTAGGTTTCTGCATAAAACAACTATAGCTTCTATTAATCTGTTAATTTGTTAGGAAGTTACTATGATTGTACTCTGTCTAAAATGCAGTATCTATAAGGGTACATCATACCTTGAGTAGGTGACCTCATGGAAAAAAAGATCAACAAAATTTATTGTATAGCGATTTTGGTTCCTGTTACATATAGAAAATAGAATGTAGTAATTTTCAGATCATGGAGTAATGATCTATATCACTATGTGATGATGATACGCCCTCAGAGATGTTTTAGACAGTGTTTACTATGTAATCACAATATTGCATACTGAGAGGTCTCCAAATATTTTAAATCTTTGTATGGAATGAAAGGCCTTTGTTTTAAGGCTGGCTTCTCCTAGATTATTTGGATTCTTTGTCATTATTATATTTCTTATTCATGTGGCATGTGAAAGTATAAATATGATATTTAAATTGCAGAAAAACTGTATTCCTCTGTGTATTGTATTGTATTGTATTGTTGATTAAATATTAAAACTGCTGATTATTTATGGTGAAATTTTTGTGAAATTAGCTCGACACAATGGTTTTGATCTGGATGTGAGCTATTGATTAAAGTTGTTTTGAATTTGTAGTTAGAAATGGAAATTATAATGATAACATTGTGTATTTATCAGAAAAATGTTATCGACTCAGTATACATGTTCTGGATACAGTGCCAAGAAATGATAGTTACGTTTCAGGAATAGAAATGACCCTGAACTCTAGTCCAACACGGAGTATGCATTACCAAAAGTGGAAAATGATTCTTCATGGGATGAACTCAATATTGTATGTGTTTAATGGAAATATAGCAATATGATTGTGTGCGTGTGTGTGTTGGGGGAGGGATGCCAAAAATATGGTGTACTTTTACTTACTTATGAACAAATTGTATAATATGATAAAACATCCTTGGAAAATTAAACCTTAAAGTAGAGTATGGAAAAGGAAAGTGAGGTTTTAAAATAAAATGTAAACGTAATATTTGATGTAGATGAAATAATATCACTATGTTAGACATCAGATGAACTTCACATGCTACCGCACTATGTTTGTCAGACTGTGTATGATGGAGCTATACATCCATTCCCTCATATGTCTTCATAGTGTGGTGCTTTATTAATTATGTACAGGGAAATTTTTTGCCTTAGCACACTTAATGTGTTTGAATGCTATAAAACTGAATATTTGCTGTGAATAATAGTTTAGAACATTTTGTACAAAAAGCATTTAAATGGGCTGATCTAATAACAGCAGGATATAATGAATGTAAGTGTCATGGCAGAGGATTAATATAGATATGTTTTCACAGAAGTCAGAAGCTTCTTAATTGGCAGGAGGTATGACTGTGGCATATTGTGAAATCGTTGAATTGTAAGAACTGGGTTCGTCCCTCTCCTCATCACATCTCCCTTCCAACATTTTACATTCTTGAGTGTCTTTAGCTTTTTCGATAGTTAAATATAATTTCATAAGAAGGAATCCAAACAATATTTTAATTATAATAGGAAATATGTTTATTCCTAAACTGTTTCTCCTAAATTGTTTTGTCTTTAAAATGCTTACAGTGCTCACATCCATGTGGAAGAAAGGGCCGCCAGCATCGCCATGTGTATTGTTATCATCGTGATGGAAAGAAAGTTACTAGGAATAATTGTGCACAAGCTTCTAAGCCTCATCGGAAACGCAAGTGTAACCAGCACAGATGTAAGTTTTTATAAATATTTTGGTAAGGATATTGTCATAGCTCAAGCGGTTAGTCGCTGGCTTCCCACTGCGGCGGCCCAGGTTTGATCCTGGGTCTGGTCAAGTGGGATTTGTGGTGGACAATGTGGCGCTGGGGCAGGTTTTCTCCGAGTACTTCGGTTTCCCCTGCCAATCTTCATTCCACCAATTGCTCCATAATCACCCTCACCTATCATCTGGGGCTGGTACAATAGGCCAGAAGTGGCTACAGTACAAGGGACTTAGTCCCACTCCGCTAGCAACAATAAAAAAAAGTTTATTGTCATGTGACTGGCATTCTGTGATGGATAATAACAGCTTAACAGGTTCTGGATTGGATGATTGGATTTATTGGCACTTTGATTACAATTGCAATCAATTATAACAGCTCACAATCAGTGACTGTCTAAGACTCGCTCCATTTCTTGCTGGACTACGAGTGTCTTCTCTTCTGCTGCGACTGACTTGGTTCTTATTTGCAAGTTTGTCACTTCTTCAGCTTCCATTGTCCACTGGCGAACACTTCACGGCAATACACGCTACTTTTCACGAATTAATCATAGAAATCTCTTGACCTGACCTGAACTGAACTCTTGAATGATGGCTCCCTTCTAAATAAACTCTTAACTAAGTCTTTTTATTACTTTAGGGCAAACCAAATATAAGTCACCATGTCTTACAGTTCCTGTATTATTCTGTTTTAATCCATTGCCACGGAAACATGTTAGTGAGCCGTTGGGTAGGAATGGACTATTCCTGCTTGTTCTCACAGAAACCTGTGTTATCAAGCTGTTGGACAGCAATAGACTATTCCAGGTATGTTACAGTAATAAAATATTAGCTGCCATATATGGTAAATAGGTGAATGAATGATATTATAAGATGGTTGCTGCTCTTACTTTTTGTCTAGAAGGTGCTTGGTTTACAGTTTGACTGGGACTGTCCATCTAGATATGACTTCATGGTTTATCTCACTTGTCCATATGTTCAATATTGTGAAATTTCAGTACACAGAATAAGCTTCATCATTCCCAAGCAATTCATGCACTGACATTTCACTACATTCATATTATATGTTCTCAGAACAAATGGTGATTATTTCCCTAAACAGCATTTACTAACTGATCTTTCTATAGAGATACACTGTGTTTTCTGTGAGGTAAAAACTGAATTTTAAACCTTTTATAGTTGAATTTCAGGCTTAAAATTGTTAACCTGCTTATAATTGCATGATGAATGTGGTTCTGATTTGGTGCTGTCATTCTGAAACACCTGTACTCTGACAGTTTCAGAGGCTGTTGTTGAGTATCTTTATATCACAGATTTCTTTCTCATTTTTTTGATGAAACATGGAACATTTAGGGGTATTTGGCACTCTGTGCGTTTACTTTTAGACTAACATTCTTACTAACAACTGACAGAATATCTTGTGTTTTTCTTTGTGGTATTTATGTTTTCACCCAAAAGATTAACATTGTCAGTATCAACCAGGTTGCTGGTGCAGTAGAATCAGTTACTGGGTCAGACTTCAATTTGTAACAACAAAAGTTGTGGATTTTTTATTTCAGGCCGCTTTACTTCATGTCTTGATGTGCAGCAGAAATTACAAGCAAAAGAGGACAAAGAATACACCTTGCAAATTATGGGCATTAATGTCTCAATATACTGTCATGGGATGTCAACATATAGCCCCCAGGAGTACCTCAGCTTTCCTGCGGGTGAAGATGAGAACTTCTCTGAAATATATGACCGAAGGTATGTCTGCACTCTCTGCACTGAGTATGGTAGAAAGCAAAGAAACGGAACAGGAATCTTAGTTTTAAGTATATTGTCCAAATATAACTATAGTGGAGCCCTGATTTAACATACTTTGACTTAAAGTTTTCCCTTATTTAAAGTCTGATTTCTTTTACCCCAAGCCAGTAATCTTGGTGTTAAATTTCCACCATTTTAAGAATTTTCTCATTATAGAATACAGATCCACTGATCCCTAAGCAAGCCTTTAATGGAGGTTCCACACCATACATGCATGTGGATAAGATTGAATTCTCTCTTCGAGATTTATGTGGTTATGTTTAACTTCATTTCCCTTAACCTTTTTTTATATTGATTCATAAAATATCAAGTGTAGAAATTCCAAGTTATATGTGTGTTATATCATAATTTATGTTGTATGGAATGACAAGTTATGCCTTTTCTTTATATTGTATTTTATTGGAGAGGGTGGATTTCCCCATGCACTTAGACCAACTGTTGGTCCATTTTGCGTCCCCCTATGATATTCTACCAGTCTCTATTCCCTACCGGTACTGGCGTGTGCCATCAGTCCAGACTCAGCCAGCAAGTTCGGCCTCTACTGGCTCAGCGGTATCTCGATGCTTCCCCCACCTACCAGAGGTGTTAGAGACTACTGTTGGGCGGGAAATGTCCTGAATTTGGCTCAATGGTCCCCTTGGGACATGAGGTTCTTTTACGTGCCGTAAAGCTACGACATGGGACCCACGGCTTAAAGTCCCTCCTGGAGGACTTGTTCCCTGAATTTTTCTGCCCTTAAAAATTCCACAACCTCCGCCGGGTTTGAACCCGCGTACCTTGAGTCATGAGGTGGGAATGTTACCCCTAGACTACGGAGGCCGCTTCTTTTCTTTATAAGTCTACAAGCAATATTCAACAGTTTCTGTTACTTTTGCGATCTTGAAATTGAAATTCATGGTATCTGGTTATGATTAACGATTGTCACATTCATACTAGCTAGAAATTTGTTAGATTCTATCTACATCCATTCCATCTGTGTGGAAGAAACAAAGTTTTCAACACACATATCAATAATGCTTCAGGTTCCATTGCTCTCATACTGTGAAATATACATGAAAATGATTGTTTAATTTTCTTTATAACTGAATCCAGATTTGTTTACCAGACATTTTTACCACAATCAGTATTTTCTTGATGAAACAGGTTATCACAATTTGTCACTGAGCTTATCAGTCATACATATTCCACTCAAGTGTCCACAATTACACTACGTCCAACTTATCATGTTGTGCAATAGGTTGGTCTCGCCAGACACGTGTCCATATAATGGCCAGCGTCGTGACAACTGCTCTTGTGTGGTAGATGGCAATGGGAAGGCGCAGTTGACTATGTACTCCAAAGTCCGTCTAAATATTACCTCACTTCGGGTCATCAGTAAGTAGTTCTTCTTTCTATGTTTGAAACACAAATAAACAGAATACTGAGTATAGAACTGTGCTGATTAACATTCATGCTTCCTGTATGTATAGTGCGCTGACTGTCATGACCGATTTTTTATGATTCCCTCAGTCCTTGCAAGGAAATTGTCCACAGTTGCTTCCTCATCATTCATTTCACTTCAGGCGATCATCTTCTCGTGACGTAGAGAATTCTTTCCTAACTCATGAACCAGTGTGAAAAGCTGCAGTTTCCATTTCAGTCTACAAACCTGTTTTCTAATATTGTAAACCAAATATGGTGCTATCTCATGATAAGTGAATCTTCCTTTCTTAGTTGTCCCATTTGTATTTTCTTTCTTACCCTTCCTTCTATAATATAATATTGGAAGTAAAATATATTGACACCTGTATGAGTGACTATAGACAGGGTTTAGGTTGGTAATTGGATTTACTGAACCCTTACAGAACATAGCTACAAGTAAGTGTAGTGATATCGCTAATTCACACACTGTACAATTCACTACAGCATGCACTAAGTCTTTTCTGTCTGCTGTGTCTCACCAGTTATTGTATGGTAATGGTTCCCAATGCTGTAGATCTCTCAACTTCCATGTTGACGTCTTAAATGGTGGGTGACTGTCTCACAAACAACTAAACTCTAAACACCTTTGCACAGATGGCACAGAAAACCCCTCTTCCCACAGCCCTCCTGTTGTGTGATGTCAGAGGGCTGCAAAACAATACCTGGGAAAGCCATTCAAGAATCTTGGGATAGATTTGTTAGTAATATTGACTATGATGTGCATGGTAGTCAAAAATGGCTTACAGAACAATGAGGCTTTAAAACGTTACAAAATCAGGTATTGCACAGAATAATGTAATAAAAGAAAGTTGGTGAACACATCATTAAACAAGATCTATTGTATAATTCTGGGGTCAGCCATTGTTGGAGATTTACTGAATTATGTGGAAGTGGGCTCACAATAAGAAAGCTTTGGCACATTTGGAAGAACCAAATGATTAATTTGATTGGGCTTCAGTGAGTCTTAAAATTTTGCCCTATGTTCACTAAAGAATTTGCCCATGTGGGCTCAGTAATCTTGTCGATATGATGGATAGCTGTTTGAAATATAAAGTGAAGTGAAGCAGCTCGATAAGTGAAGAGCTACAAGTGGGGTAGCGGTATTCATAAACAGTGTTAAGATACAGTTCAATTGGTGTTATTAAATTTAAGCTATGGAAGACGCCTATATGTGTTCTGGGAACTTGTTACATCAGAGAGATTATTTACTACATTTTGATTATTTCTTGTAGACTAGATTTCAAAGAAAATTATGGATGTATCCTATGATGGATGAGTGAGACTTGTACTGAGTATTTTACACTAGAGAAATGCATAACATCATTGAATGATTTGAATATTATGTTATCTTGTTTAATTGATATGTGTGACTTCATTCATCTTTCTATGATTGATTCATTGATGTATCATGAGAAACAGTTGTATATGTGTTAAACAGCTAAGAAAGAGGCAGCTTACAGCTGTTACCAAGTTCTAGTCTCTACCTGAGAAGAGGTAAACGTTCATCAATTCTGTTTTCTTGATATTTGTTTATTGTGGTATCAGAGCTGTTTGAACATGTTTTTTATAGTAAGTGACACGTGAGATGTAAATGAATCTATTTCCGTTTGATTTGCCAACATTTCGCTTAAGGGAGATCTGTAATGGCCTAAAATGTATTCATGTTTAATGATGGTAATTAATAATTGACTCATTGATTAAAGTTTTGATTTCTTCATAAAATTATTTTGAGAATTTGGATATTGAAATTTTGTGCCTGTATGATTTACTGTTTTGTTATGCATTTAGTTGCATCTTACGAGATGCAACAAATTGCTTTTGGTGATGAAATTTGATGAGTCTTTTGGTGTTTAAATTTGAGTGTTTGACATTAATGTGTTGTAACTCGTCTTGGATGGAGGTGTAACACAGGCTAAACAGCCTAAACAGCATTAACCAGGTGGATTTGTAGCAGAAACATAACATTTCCTGTAAGATATGAACTGAATTTTGTGTTATTTAGAAGAAATTCAGTCTTCAAAGTATTAAGTAAAGTAGGGATTGTACTGGACACTTATTGACCAAAAATAAAATACATGTAACAAATTTCAGAGAAACCTGCAGTACCACATTTAATTGATATTTCTTGAGGAAGTTTGGAGAAAGAAATTGTAAGATTCTCCAGTATATATAATCATAACTTTGAATATAATGCAGATATAATAAACAGTATTTTGTAAGATTTGAGGCTTTCACGGCGGTGACTATGAAGAAAGCAGTCTGCTTTTACCGGTTCTCACGGTCTCTTCGCTTTGCAGATTTCTTATATTTTTTCTTCTACACTGAAGATGGAGGCGATACGTTCCTCCGAAACGTCGGTTAACACCACATATACACGGTGCCAAATCCCAGAAGACTGCTTTCTTCAAACAGTATTTTGTTTCAGATAACAGTAGTAACAATTGTTGGTCGCAATAAATTCTCCATGCTATATAAAGGAATCTAGGTTTGGTTTGTGCTACAGATTAATTAATTTTCTTTGGGTACTTTGGTCAGCCTCTTGATCTAGTTTCATCCCTCCACCCAAAAAGAACTGACAGGTCTCATTCTGCTCGCAAGATAGTCAAGATGATCAGCTATTTTGACTCATCCTGTGTATACATATCTCTGTGTGTATGTGTGGGCATTTGCATATGGATGAACCATTTGTTGTTGATTCCTGTTAGAACTACATGCAAAATAACAGGCTCTGAAATGTGGGTTATGGACGGTACTCAGCGAGTGGTAGCTTACTGTATTCCATGAAACATCACACTGAATTGTTACAAAAAGGTTACATTTTTAAGAAATGAAATCATCTCATCAAATTTACCATTTGCTTTTTCTTAGCTCAAGACAGCACTTTCTCAAGGCAGGCAAAGGGCCAACAGGGGCAACAGGTACCTTACGGACAGGCAGGAGATTGCTATAGCAAGGCAGAATGCCCTCAGGGGCGTTTCTCCATCAATCTCATTGGAACAAATTTCGTAGTATCAGCACTCACCAAATGGGAGGGTAAAGGATCGAAACCATCTAAGAAGATCCATTGGTCAGAGGTATAACTTTCAGAATGCCTACATGTTGACTGGAAAGTACTCATAGAGTGATAGTGGTATTTTCGTTTTTATCCAGGAAAGAAATCTGCAGATGGTGTAGTTCATTTCATTGTTGACCCCTATTCTATATTTTTTTTAAATGCATTCACTTTCTCTCACATTTTGCTGACTGGCTACACAGGAACTTCTGGTTCAAACCTGCTCCAAGCCACTTAATTTTACATTCTTTATCGGAAGTATGTTATGCAACCATTTTTTTTTTTTTACCTTTTGTACATAAGTGTAATCCCTGTCTCAAGTACAATACTTATTTTCGTTTTTCATATATCTTATTACAGTATGTGTCGGACGTTCTTGGCCATCATCAGGCATATACACTCTTGCTAAAACTGTTGCAGTGTCATGTTAATATGTCACATATGAATGCATCTTTGTTTTTAATTTTAAAATGTTTAAAATTTTTAAACATTCATAAAATGCTGATTCAGCTGTACTGCATCTGGTTGTCAGGTGTGTGTGTGTTTTCTGTAATATGTAATAATTGTATTATGTTAATAATTTTATATATATACACACACAGTGTGTCCAGGATCCCTTAGAACTATTTTCTTTTCTTAAATTGTGCCCTGCAATGCCATCTGTTGGAGACTTGTGACATTAAGATTCTTGAATTCTATAATTTCAAAGTGCAAGCATTGCTGCATCATGTGTTTTGACCTTGAATGTAACAGTACTGTTATGATGCTCATCGGAAAATGGCGGTTGAACAGAGAGCCAACGTCAGATTTTTGTTTGAAGTTAGGCAAACAGCCGGAGAAGAGTACGAAATGATGAAAAGTGTGTATGGTAGTGATTGTTTGAGTCGCTTGAGCATTTTTCAATGGTATGCTGCATTTCGTGACAGTAAGGAGGACATTTAAGATGCTCCACGTGCATGAAAGCCGAGAACAAGTCGCACTGAAGAAAATGTACAAAAAGTGACCAAAATCCTTGCATCAGACAGATGTGTTTCTGCAAGATTCATCGAGGAGCTTTAGGGAATACCAAAAAATACTGTGCATCAAATTTTGATGGAGGATTTGGGCAAACGGAAGGTCTGTGCGCGGTTTCTACCGCATGCACTGTCAGGCGATAAAAAACATGCCAGAGTGGAACACTGCAAAGGCATGCTACAGTCGGCCCAAAGTGATACAAAATTTACAAAATAAAGACACTGCTAAATGTTTTCTGTGTTTCCAAAGGAATCATCACAAGGAATTTTTGCCAGAAGGTCAAACAATGAATTCAATCGTTTGTGGGTGAGAATTTTTCGAATTCGACCTGGATATCGAGAGCAAGGTTCCTGGTCGCTCCTCCACAACAATGCCCCACTGCACAAATTGAAGATTGAAGGCGATTTTTTGCTAGAAAAGGGATCGCAGTCCTTGGTCATCCTCCGTATTGGCCAGATTTGGCTCCAGTAGATTTCTGGTTGTTCCCAAAAGTTAAGTTGGCGATGAAAGGAGAACGTCATGACACCATCCAGGACATCCAAAGGGAATGTACCGCAGTTTTAAATGCAATTCCACAAAAGAAGTACAGTGACTGTTTTCAAAAACTTTTTGATCTATTCCTGCTATGTATTGATTCAGGAGACTATTTTGAATAAAAAGAGTGAAATTTTGAAAATAATGTGACATGTTGACCCCTACCTCCCCAGCGGCACGTAGCGGTAACGTAGCGCTCGCGTAATAGGCGAGTCATCACCCCGCAACTCTCCCCGCGGTGACGTCACGAGCGGAGCTGAAGTTAGCCGAGTCCCCGCAACCTTGAAGCTATGCAAAGCGAGTCAACAGCGGTGACGTCACCAAGGGGTAACAGCGTTGCTAGGCTATACGCCACGTCACACTAGCAACAGTGAACGGAATAAAAGCCGGCTGAGCAGCAAGCGAGAGTCAGTGCGTTATCAACGAGTTCTCAGTTTGCAAGTTACGAGCTACAGACGCGTGTGCGATAACCAGTGATATTTGGAGTGTGTAATTCAGGGAGACTTCTATAGGTCCCGCGTTATTAATACGTGAAGACTCTTGAAGATAGTGTTAAGAGATTTTGTTGTAGGGTTTGTAAAGTGTGGAAACCCGTAACATTGTGATAATTAATTGTAGCCGATATTTGTAGATTGTTCAATAAACCAATAAACGATCTCTACGGCGTATTCAGTAACGAAACATGTTACAATAATTCACATCTTGTATTTTTAATGAACACAGTCCTAACAGAACCTGGACACACTGTGTATATATAATGTAATGAATATATTAGTATACGTTAAATGTTTGTTTGTGTTATTTAGCTAATGTGTACTTTGCTGTGGTGGTCTGTTCTGTGTGAACACATATTGTGAATGTTTTGTGTGGTTGGCTCCACAGAGCAAAGCAGAGTTTTGCTTGCCTTCCTTATGCTAGTTTCTTGCTTTGCTTTCTTTTCAATCCTGAAGATAAAGGTGACATGTTCCTTCAAAATGTTGGCTGACTTGTAGCATAGTACATGGAATGTATATCCCAGAAGATAGACTCTGCATAACTACCACCAGGAGAACCTCATGTTTTATGTATTGTGTCTTCTTTCTGCATTAGCCCCCTAGTAGTTCTGAGCATTTCATAAAGCATATTACTTTCCTTAATTGATCATTTAGATAGTCATACTTGACTTCACAGATTGGAGTCACAAATGATTAGATCTTGAGTTATGTGGAATCTTACAGTCATGTAGGATCTCTGAGGCTGCCTGTCTTCATTCTGGTATCTTTCACAAGTGTGGTGATTTACTGGTCCTAGTTTTGGAGAGGTATCCTCTTCAGTGGCAATGTCCTGTGAGTAGACTCATTACACATCTTCTCTCTGTCCCCTCCTCCTCCTCCTCCTCTTCCTCTTCATCAGATGGTGCTTATTCTGGTATGAACGCCCGCTAGCTTTTATAGTCTCTGTTCATCCAGTCCCTGATGGCCCTCATGGCAACTCTTTTTGAGGTGCTACATGCCTTCCCTCAACTCCCCTCTGACCTGCACCTATACTGACTGAATGCTGTTATGTTCAGTTTCATTAGGGACTGATGGTCTCAGACCAATTTCGAATTGATCTGATTGTGCTGCTGTTGAAAGCATTTGCAAAATTCTTAACTTTCTTTTACTGCTTGAATACAGCCTGCAGTTATCTTGAATTCTGATGATATAATCAATTCTATTTCCCTGTAATGCCAACTTGAGATTCAGTCTGAAGATTTTTCTGAAGCTCCTGATACATATTTATGTGATTCAGTCAACAGAGGAGGCATAACTCAGATCTTTGGATGATCCAAAGGAGAGTCCCTCCTCCTTACAATGGCATGTCTGTTGTCATGAACAGGTTCTTTGATTTATGTCTTGTTTTCTTCTATTTGCTCATGGATGGACATCCAGAAATCTCAGTAACAATAACTAATATCACTCCATTTCTTAAGTTGGAGGAGGGATGAAATGTTCGAGTTCTGCTTATTGCTTGGTTTCCGAAGATAAGTTTTCACAGTTCATGACTTTTTATAGTACTTTTGCCTTGCTTGAAGCAGAACTAGATGCATGCTTGCTGTTCTTTTAAATCTGCCATTTTCTGGTGAAACACAAATTATGGATGGCACAACACAGCTTCATGAGATGTTACATCTGAGTAAATAGTGAATGTCTTAGCAGATTTAAAACAAGCGAAGGAATTTGTCTTACCTACAGTAGTGTGCTGGTCTGCAAACTGATTGATCACCATGTATTGTGCACATATATATTTTCATTGAGTGAGATGCTGCCCTCTGTCACAAGTCTTTCATAGCGTAAACTTAGTCACGAAAAAGAAGATAAGATCATGCAGTTTATATTAAATTGAATGCTGGGAAAATTCTATGTGTGTGTGTGTGTGTGTATGTGTGTGTGTATATATATATATATATATAAAGTAAGTGAAGGTATCCCTCTAACAGGCCGTGGAGGCCCATAGGGATGTGATGTGTTGAGGGTCCCACATTATCTAGACAATTGGCTTATAGATGGCGGCAAGGTTGTCAGCCTTATGCGCCGGCCGCCCTTTACCCCCAAGAATATTCCTGGTACTCATTTCTGTTAGAGGCTGAGTTGACCCCAGCGCCATAATGCGGCTGGAAGGATTAGGTCAATTGAAAAAGAATCCGTTGTCCTCATTGGGACTTGAACCCACGACCTTCTGGCTTGTAGCATAGTGGCTCAACCAACTACACTACTGCATGCCCCATATGTATATTTCACCTTGTCCTTTCCACCACATATATGTATATGAGTAATAAAAGCAAACCTAAACACAGCACAAATATTGATGAGAAGGGTTTGTGAACAACCAGCTGAAGGCAGCGGATGTTTCATGTACAGGGAAACCAGAAAGTGAGTGGCAAGTGTGGAGGTTACTGTGGCACATGCAGTCCTCACCTGCGACATGGACTCAAATTGGATGTGTTGCCACCATAGTCAAACAAATAACTACTAGCGTCATTTATCAATTTTAATAAGGTAAGTAATCCCGATGCTTTGTGGTACTATGTAAACTGTAAGCAGAATTTAATTTCAGTATACTATGAAACTTTATATGAAGACAGATGAATTCACATATGAAAGCAGCCTTGAATGGTAGGAAGTCATTTACAAAAGTCAGGGAGATCGGTGTTGTCATTGAATTCATTTACGATGTCAAGGTGCATAATGCCTAATCAGGAGAGTGTGTTCAAAATAACTTAATTTTCATTCTGTTCACACCTCCTTCTATAACTATTGATTCTTTTGTAATACTTGTATACTAATACGAAGTATTACACTTTCATTGAGTGCATTCAGAAGGAACGAGGCAGGACACGAAAATCAATTAAAGATTACTCTGAGTAATAAATTCTATGTGAGATTTTAGGTTTTCACTTGCTGTGTGTACCAAGTTATGGTGTTCTGGGAGCTGATGCAAGGCATTTTGGTAGGTGGTATCAATGTTTTGGAACAGCCTACTGCATCCATTGTTAGCACTGAAGTTGGTGGCACTTGGTTCCATAGAAATGTTTATACTCATCTACAAAGCTACATGGTCTCACATTTTAGGAGACAAAAGCCTTTGTGCATCCTTTCTCCTAAATACTTTTATTGTGAGAAGTTACTTTTAATTGCTTTCCCAAAACAGATGTATAAGCATTGTTCTTGGAGAGAACAAAATGTTTACCTTGGTCATTAATTGAAATTTGTTTATTTTGAAATGTTACAGTTCCTCTATACTTGCAAGAGGCTAACAGTGAATCAGACGCTGCTGCACTAGCTGTTCAGTTCGCGCAACATTGGGATCCAGTTCGCTGAGTGTGAAGACTAGAGATTACATTACATCATTAGGCCACTGCTCTAGGAAACATCCTAGCCTTTGTTGATGCTTAATACAAGGGTCATACCAAAGTCATGAGCAACAATATTTTTGTAAAGTAACATGCTTTATTATTGACAAACCAAATACATCACCTCAATCTATACACCATTCTTTATTTTTCCACATAATCGCCACTTCTTTGTACACATTTCTCCCAGTGTTCTGGGAGTTTGAAAATTCCCCTTCTGTAAAATTCCGTTCCAGCCATACGAAGACACTGACGCACTGCTTTCTGAATTGCCTCCCTTGTTTCAAAACACTGTCCACTCAGCTGATCCTTCACAAATCCAAAAAGATGGTAGTTGGAGGGTGCCAGATCAGGGCTATAGGAGGGGTGTGGAAGAACTTCCCACCCCATCTTTGCAGTTGCTTCCAATGTGAGGCAAGCGACATGGGGGAAAGCGTTGTCATGCAGGATTATGATGTTTCATCCCGGATGTTTATCGCACAATGCACGATGGAGCTTGTGCAGTGTCTGGACATAACGAGCAGCATTGATGGTTTGTCCAGGTTCCAGGAATTCGGCCAGAATAAACCCCTCTGCATCCCAGAAGACTGTGCCCATCACCTGGCACTGTCTTTGTCTTCTTTTTTGATGGAGAATGCAAATGGTGCCATTCCATACTCTGCCGTTTCGTTTTAGGCTCAAAATGGTGAAACCAGCTTTCATCACCTGTCACAATACAGAGCAAGAAATCATCGCCTTCGTGTCAATATCTCTGCAGCAGTTCTGAGGTGATGGCTTTTCGCTGACCTTTGTGTTTTTCGGTCAATAACCACAGGACCCAACGAGCACAAACTTTCCTATAGCCCAAGCTTTCAATCATCTCCTATGCTGCACTGTGCTCTATTCCAAATTTTCGGGCTATTGTGTCCACAGTCACACGCTTGTCATCTTGAATGATCTCATCCACTCTTTCCTTGTTGCGTTCAGTTGAGGCTGTTCGAGGACGACTGGTCCGGGGCTCATCTTTGATGCTGGTGATCCCATCTTTAAAATGTTTCACCCATCTTCGAACACTGCTTGCACCCATGCACACACTTCCATAAGCAAGCTGAAGTCTCTGGTGAATTCCTGCAGCAGGGATTTCCTCTTTCACAAGAAATTCGATGACAGCACACTGGCGAAACAACATATGGTTGTCGGCCATTTTGTTAGGAGTGATACTGGTCACGTGATGCAAGCTATTGATGTCACAAGGCACTCAAGGTTAACACAACAGCTGGTTCCACCTACCACCATACTCTCGTTCGTCTGCTGTTCCCAGGTTGCATGCAAAATAAAGTTGCTCATGACTTTCGGTATGACCTATGTAGTTTTTGTAAGAAATTCAACCAACAGCCTGATGGTATATATTGTATACTAGAGCCATTGTAAATCACATCTTTAGTTCATGTAATTTCCTCTACCACTCTTCCCATCTTGTCTTTCTCTCAAGAACCATTCTTAACTTACATATTATTGTTATGATTCACAAAGTGGTTACTTTAATAGTGGTATTTGCCTTCTTTGCAAGAAATTCCTTGCAGCTGTAGATCAAGGCTTCTGTTGTCCATGTATCTGCAAGAGCTTGGTTGTTCAAAATATCCCACATGTTGCATCCAGTTTCGCTGATATTTCAGCATCCTTCCATGATCTTTGTAAACTTAGTCAGCATCGTTTGATCCAGTTATGACACATGTAAAAAGGTAGTATTTATTGTCACATTGCTGTTCCTATTTTCTAGGATATTTGTGGGCATTCCAGCACAATTTTGTTTTTCCGTGGTCTTGTTCTTGGGGGTTGATACTGAAATGCCAGCTGTGGTAATTGCCTTTTGAGCATTTTCATATTGTCTGCCATTTTTCCTGGTATATCTATGTTCTGTGACTGTGTTGGATACTCATAAGTTCTCTATGATATTCTGAACAAGGTCTTCAAACTTTCTGCCTTGTTTAATAACCATATAACACTGCTTGCATTGGTTTAATATCTCTTTCTGTTTAATATCTCTTTCTATGTATTTTCTTAGTATTTAAATCATGAGACTTGATTCACTCTTTCTATGTGTAGTTGTACTTTTACTCTTTGAACTTTATTTCTGCACATTCCCATGGTTTCAATAATATGCCAACTTGTAGCTCGCTGCAGTCATGTTTGAGTTGTATGATGAAATCTGTAATGCATTTCATGGAATTCCACTTACTTACTCTGGGTTGCTCTGTGTTACTCTCAGTATGGAAGCTATATAGCGACAAATGGTAGGACAATTGATGAACTGGAAAGGATTTGGAAGGTAGTGGCTATGGCTTAACTGTGATATTATCTTAGCATTTGCTGGAGGGACTGAGGAAAACCACTACACACCTCAGTCAGAATAACCAGAATCCTGACTGGTATTTGCATAGAGCAACTGCAGGATTCAGGTTACTACTAGACCAGCCTTCTCAGTTAGGTTCAATAATAAATGCAGTATTACATCCAGAAGGCCACAGTATAGCTACATAATTGTTTGCAGAAGTAGCACTTGTATTATGATGAGAGGAAATTGTTTTAATCTGGCATTATGGCACAGGTAGCAGGATTTTTGCCACTAAGTCATTGGGCTTCACCAGCAAAGAAAATTAAAATGAATGGCACTTTCATAGAACACAGACTCTGCATTGAGAATGACAGAAACCACCTTCACATTGTTTTCCTACAACTGCAGAAACAAAATGTGAAATAATTGTTGATTGTTACGTTTTCCAACCTAGGGTGTGTAAGGTGCTCAGTGGGCTAGATAATCCATGTTAGTAGGCTGCATTTTCAGCAGCCTGAAATCACAAGTTTCTTTTAATTGCCTTCAGTTGATAGAAAATCATCTTTCCATCTAGGGATCCCACCACATAACCTTCTCTGCTAAAGCAGGTGCTTTGCTACTGAGTGAAGGAACTAATGATGGCACCTAGCAGTCCTCACACCCATCACAACACATACATGGGCAGGAATTAAGCTATAAATAGACAAGTAATAATCCAAGTAGCCGTATGTGAAAGGGGGGGGGAGAATATCCTACTCACTTGGACCTGTTATAGCCAGTGACAGAGGTGACCTCCATCTAACATGTCAAACTAAGTAAAATCCTCCCCCCTCCCCTGTACATGATCATGGAAACTGATCCAGTTTCTGAAATGCTATATATTTTAACTATATCTGAATAATGGACAATGTCAAACATAATATTTGTATTTCTAGTCCTTAGATTTTCAGGGCTGGAGCTTAATATACAACTTCAGCTTTGGAAGTAAGCTGCATGGAATGTTGAATGCTTTCCATTTCAGCAAAGTTGCCTTCTTCAGGGTTAATGGAAATGTTTCTCATCATCTCTTTTCACTAGGCATGTGGTCACTGAAACATTTTAAGTAACCACATGGTTGTACCCCATCGTATAGCACTCCACTCTTCTGTTTCATCCAATCACAACTGCACACCTGACACACTGCCCACTATATAAGAGCTGTCAAAACCTCTCCCTGGGTCTGCAACCCTGAAGATGATAATAAGCCAATAGGTTAACCTTTCAGTGAATGGTTCTTGAACAGTAAACTGTGGGGAGTGGTGGAAATTTGTGAGAGCTGTACTCAGTCTAAAACATGTTTGAGGGTACACCATACCTTGAGTAGGTGACCTTAGGGAAGAATATTCCTGTGTGTTCAATGAGGTCTCCAATATGGCGATTTTGGTTCCTACCATTTTTTAAAATAGAATCCAGTAACTTTTTAATTATATTAAAACGATTTATATTACTATCCAGGACACATCCTTAAAGATATTTTAGACACAATATAACAGAACTTGTTGCATTGAAACATGTCTCATGTAGTGCACCAAGTCTCGGAGAATTACTGCTTCATGGAAACAGGAAGAAAGGTTCTTTGTTTAACAATACATCTCTTTTATTTCCTTTATGCCACACTTTACATATTATGAAAGTTATATATAGATTTTTCTTAGGATGTGGGGTTTTGGAATTTGGAATTGGTACAAATTAGAGGTAAAATCTACTGAGTGGGAATCAGACTGAAGAATATGGACAATCTAGTCAGCATGGACATACTAGGCATGGCAAATTTGCATCAGCAAGACAGACAATGTGAATGAATACCACTTCTCATGGAGAAGTATTTAGTTGTCTTGCCAGTATACAGAAATTGTGTGCTCATTCTTCCTAATCAATACAAATTGTTGACTGATGATACTACACACAGGGCCTCAGTGCTGTTCTATATGAGTTATGTGCCTGAGTATAACATAACCAAAAGAAATGAGTGTGGCCACTGCAATACATAACTAAAATTCACTGAATGTATAACTTGCAATAATTTTTCTGAAATTTAGAAGTTACCAGCAGTTTCTGCATTTTAAGCCCAGCCCTAAATAGGTGATTGACATTTTGTGGTTTTTCCTTGTATAAACAAAATTTTGTTACAGTGTGTTTTAATATGCTCTAAGTGATTTAACATTTATGGGTTTACTTCAATTAATCCTTCATATTGTGTCATGCCAAGCTCAATCTGGCAGAGTCTCTGGGTAGCACAGAGCCCATTACCTGAATTAAATGAGACTAACTTTCATATTTTCTGTGGCTTGCTCTATTGTGAGCCAGTCAACCCTGAAGAAGGAAGAATGAATGTCATCACAACGGAGTCACTATTTTTATTAGTTTTACTCAGAAAATAGACCATGCAGAATTAGGAGAGAAACAGAATATATCTTTTATGTATACCAGTGAGTTGGCATTGAAGCTATCTCCTATGGTGGATTTTACTGTTCTAATTATTTATGCTGGAGTGACAATTGTCAATCATGGAAACTAAGTCTATATTGTGGACAGTACTGTTGGGTTCTAGGATACAGATGAAATGTTTTAATTTGCTGTTTTAAATCACTGCCATTATTGATTTTATTAAGAGTATGTTTTGGTACAATTTTATGTACCAATTTTAATATTAATTTTTATATTTTATATTAAACCCATTGTGCTCTGACAGTGTTATTAAACAGAGGTTGTGGTTGCTTTGTTCTTTTAGATTTTTTTTTTGCAGTGAGAGTTCTATGACGTTTTGCTGTATATGATG